CGCAGAGTTGCAGAGGGCGTGCCACTTGCGCAAAGTGCGCATCTATTCAACACATATCGGACAACTGCACCTCAGAAACAACTCATTGTTCGAACTGTGAAGGAGACCACGCTGCCTACTCACGATCATGCCCCGCATGGAAAAAAGAGAAACAAATAGTAGAACTAAAGGTTAAATTCAATCTCACATTCCAAGAAGCGCGCCAACGCTTCGCAATACACAACCCATTTTATCCTTCCTTTGCAGATGTGACGCGCCGGGGCGCCGCGCCACATGCCTCAGCACCCGCAAATGTCACACAGTGTGTGACGGCGGTCGTGCCGCCTGCGCCCCCGGCTGGAGCAGCCTCTACTGCTCCGCCACCTGACAAACAGGTCCGGCAGACCCTAGTGTCTGCTGAACCTCGGACCACTGCAGGCGCAGTCAGGTCCGAAAGTTCAGTGAATGTGCCTCCCCCGCAGGCACCATCCACCACCTCACAAGAGGTGATGGATACAAGTCCCACTCCTCCGGCGCCTCAGACGCCAAAGGATAGGCGCAACTCCTTGGAGCGCGCCAAAAAAGAAAAACCTCGAATCACAGGGCCCTCAAAAGGCCCTGTAAACTAATGCAACACCTCTGTATGCACAGCATCACACTAAATTAAAATGACACAAATACTACAGTGGAACGTCAGAGGACTGTTGAGAAACCTCGACGATATCCAGCAACTTTTACACAAACATACACCTAAGGTGCTGTGCGTACAAGAGACACACCTGAAATCGAAACACACCAACTTTTTACGTCACTACGTTATTTTTCGGAAAGAGCGGAATGATGCCATTGTGCCATCCGGTGGTGTTGCCATTATAGTCAATCAAGGGATTGCATGCACACACCTAACACTACAAACATCCCTTGAGGCGGTGGCTGTTCGAGCAGTTCTATTGAATAAGCTCGTCACCATCTGCTCTCTCTACATACCTCCACAACACCGTCTTGAAAAGCATGAATTCGAGTCCCTCATAGACGAACTTCCAGAACTTTATATTCTCCTTGGAGATTTCAATGCACATAGCAATCTGTGGGGTGACTCTCGCTGCGATGCTCGAGGTCGCCTGATTGAACAGCTTCTTTTTTCTTGCGGTGCATGCCTGCTGAATCGGAAAGCGCCAACATACTACAACATTGCTAACAATACATGCTCAGCATTAGACCTCAGCATAATATCCCCATCACTCCTGCCTCTACTTAAATGGCAAGTTATTGATGATCCATAGGGTAGTGACCATTTTCCTATCGTTATCAGCTCATCAATAACAAATACATGTCCTGCACAAGTTCCCAAATGGCTCACTGACAAAGCCGATTGGGAAAATTTTCAAAAAATGACTTTATTATCTTGGACTGACATGGCGGCATTGAGCATAGAGGATGCTGTATGCTACTTTACAGCTTTCTTGGTTGATGCAGCAACAAAATGTATTCCCCAAACATGTGGACCGTCAAGCAAACGACGAGTCCCATGGTGGAATAATGAGTGCCGTAATGCTCGAAAAAAACAAAATAAGGCATGGAGGTTGCTTAGAGACTCGCCCACAGCCGAGAATCTTGTAAACTTTAAGAACGTCAAGTCGCAAGCAAGGAGGACACGCCGACAGGCGAGAAGAGAAAGTTGGCACAAATTTGTATCGGGCATTAACTCATACACGGATGAGTCGAGAGTCTGGAGCATGGTTGGTAAGGTGGCAGGACGAGAAGCACATTCGCTTCCTCTAGTGAACACACAACGGGAGAGTTTGGAAGACCAGGCAAACACTCTCGGAGCGCACTTTGAACAGGTCTCCAGCTCAACACACTATAGTGAAGCGTTCCGACGATACAAAACCGCAATAGAAAAACAGAGATTAGAGCGCAAGCCCAGAACACATGAGGCATACAACGAACCTTTCTGTTTGGCTGAACTGCAGGCCTCACTTGCCTGCTGCAATAAATCTGCCCCAGGCCCGGACCGTGTGGCATATGAAATGTTAAAACACCTGCCCACTGAAACCCAGAAAGCTCTCCTCTCTCTGTATAATGCGATATGGTCTTCTGGCGAGCTACCCTCAGCCTGGAAGGAAGCTATCATTATCCCAATCCTAAAACAAGGCAAGGACCCGGCCTCAGTTTCCAGCTACAGGCCAATAGCATTAACCAGCTGTATTTGCAAAGTCTTTGAAAAAATGATTAACAGGCGCCTGATGCACTTCCTTGAAATTAGTGGCCTACTTGACCCGTACCAGTGTGGGTTTCGAGAGGCTCGGTCCACCACTGACCACCTTGTCCGTATCGAGGCACAAATTCGCGACGCTTTTGTTCATAAGCAATTTTTTCTTTCTGTGTTTCTCGATATGGAAAAGGCATATGATACTGCATGGCGCTTCGGCATATTGCGAGACCTGTCACATTTAGGTGTGCGGGGCAGAATGCTGACAGTTATCGAAAGCTACCTGTCCAACCGTACATTCCGTGTCCAAGTTGGCACTGTCTTATCTCGAGTATTTGTCCAAGAAACAGGGGTGCCACAAGGAGGTGTATTGAGCTGTACACTTTTCATAGTTAAAATGAATTCCTTGCACCTGTCTCTCCCACGAAATATTTTTTACTGCATATATGTCGATGATGTGCAGATTGGTTACAAATCGTGCAACATTTCAATGTGCCAACGTCAAGTTCAACTAGGGTTGAACAAGGTATCTCAATGGGCAAACGAGAATGGTTTTATACTCAACGCGCAAAAGAGCACTTGTGTCTTGTTCAGCCGAAAGAGGGGCCTCCATCCTGACCCCGACATTGACCTGCATGGTCAACCTCTGTCAGTGAAGACCGAGCACAAGTTTCTCGGTCTCATATTAGACACTAAGCTAACCTTCATCCCACACATCAAGTATTTAAGGGACAGGTGCTTAAAAACAATGAACATTTTGAAAGTGTTGTCACACACTACATGGGGTAGTGACAGGAAATGTTTAATTAACTTATATAAAAGCCTCGTACGCACACGCCTAGATTACGGTGCTATAATCTATCAGTCGGCAACACCATCAGCCTTGAAAATTCTCGACCCTGTCCACCATCTAGGCATTCGCCTCTCTACGGGTGCTTTCGCACCAGCCCTGTGGAGAGCCTGTACGTGGATTCGAATGAATGGTCGCTCCACCTACAAAGATGTTCCCTGTCCTTTTTGTACTTTTTGAAGGTGAAGGCAGACAAGAAACATCCTTCCCATTTCACAATTAACGATTTGTCTTGTTCTGGCTTGTTCGAGAACCGACCTTCGTTTAGGCAGCCCTACGCGCTGCGTGTAAGGAGCCTGGCCGAAGGAACAGGTGTGCCTCTTCTTGAACCCAGTTTGATGGCTCCTGCAACATATCTGCCACCGTGGCAGTGGCAGCTTATAGACGGTGATGTTTCTTTTGTTGATGTCACAAAGCACGCACCACTTGCACACATACATACATACTTTTTAGAACTACAACATAAATACACATGCCCTGAGTTCTTTACTGATGTGTCAAAGTCAAACACTTCTGTGTCATATGCAGCAATAGGCCAATCCTTTTCTGAGGCCGGCGTTCTTCATCCTAATGCAAGCATTTTCACAGGAGAAGCTTATGCAATACTGGCGGTCGTAAAACACATTAAACAGATAAAATTACAAAAGGCGGTAATATACACAGATTCCCTAAGCGTGGTCAAAGCCCTGAAAACTCCTAAAAAACACAAGAACCCCGTGCTGGTGTCACTCTACTCACTTCTGTGCACACTCTACACATCAAAACAGCATGTCGTTGTCTGCTGGGTTCCAGGGCACCGTGAAATACAAGGGAACGTTTTGGCCGACAATCTCGCTGCTTGCGCCAATGTCACTACTGCCAATGCATCAACACCAGTCCCTGCACTTGACTTAAAACCTTTTATAAAACGAAAGCTCAGGGGGTATTGGCAGAGCATGTGGGATAAACAAACAGATAATAAACTCCATGCTATTAAGCCGCAACTAGGTTATTGGCCGCCACTATCAAAATCACGACACACGGAAGTAATACTAACAAGGCTTAGAACTGGACACACACATTCTACGCATTCATTTCTTCTGTCTACCGGTGATCCACCATATTGTGTGAGATGTGGAGAGCCCCTTATGGTTCTCCACATTCTCGTCCAGTGCAATGAGCTAGATGCTCTAAGAAAAAAGCACTTTTTACTGCCCTACCGACAGCAGCTCCCTCTACACCCTGGGATGCTCATCGGTAGGGATCCGCTTTTTAAACTGCAAACACTTTTTACGTTTTTAAAAGAAGTGCAAAGCTTTCACCCGATATTTCGAGGTCATCCGTAGCACGACCTCTATAGAGTGGTCGTGGCTGCGGTGACTATATCTTCATCATGGTTTTATTATCATGACATTTTGCCATCAGCTATCACCACACATATGTCACGCCACTGTCATGATTTTATTACTTTCATGTTTTAACCCGCGTTAGAGCGAGGAATTTTAAGGCCCCTTTACAGCCACGTACCATATCATTGTTCATATCTGTAGTCAATTGAAATGGCGCTCTTTGGCCATCAATTGGCCCTTGCGCCACTAAAAATTACTCATCATCAGGTGAGCCCCGCCGCGGTGGTCTAGTGGCTAAGGTACTCGGCTGCTGACCCGCAGGTCGCGGGTTCGATTCCCGGCTGCGGCGGCTGCATTTATGATGGAGGCGGAAATGTTGTAGGCCCGTGTGCTCACATTTGGGTACACATTAAAGAACCCCAGGTGGTCGAAATTTCCGGAGCCCTCCACTACGGCGTCTCTCATAATCATATGGTGGTTTTGGGACGTCAAACCTCACATATCAAATCTTTCACAGGTGAAAGACGGGTGAACTGTGCTTCTGGGTTACTTGATAGGTTTTAAGTGAGCATAATGAAGTACTAATCTCTTCGGCCAAAGTATGAGAAAATGTATGATGCTGTCCTCACAGGCCTACAAAGAAAGCAACTACAAGAAGCAGAACATCCACCGTGCCATCACCAGCGGAAGGCAGTTGGGCAACCTGTATGAAGCCAGCCCCAGGATGGTTCCGCGTGGCATCAATCCCGTCTGCCATCGAATGCACATGACCGTGCCTGAATACAGGAGTGCCAAGAATGCAGCAACCTCTGGCAGAGGAACGCGCTCCATTCTGAACTTCATTACTGGTTAGTTTTCTTTCTTTTTTCTGCGTCTTTTTTTTTTTTTTGCTGTGTACAAAAAGTAAAAAGAAGAGCGATGACTGTACTAGCGCAGGGATTCACATTAACCTAAGAGTGGCAGCACTTGTTAAATTTCTGGCTATTTGAAAAAAAAAGGAAACTTAGGTTGTTTAACGGTCTGTGACACTGCATTCTCATTTGGAGGAGCTATTTACTTTTGGTATTTCTGTGCAATGTTGGCGAGGAAGAGACTGTAAACACCGAGCTAGTAGAAAATAAAGCATTATTCTTGCCTGAAGTTTCTTTACGTCGCGCCTGGTTGAAATATTTTGCTGCACACAGTGGCCTTGATGATGGCAGCATTGTCTTAGCAAGACATCGGACAGGGGCCGTTTTGGTAGGAATTTCAAAAATTTTTTTTTTTTCGTTACCTTTTAGGGAATACTCGCTGCCAGCAGATAATTGTCGCATGTAATTTAAATGGGCAGTTGAATTTTGCTTGTAAATACTAATAGCATGACTAACTGTAGAATAATTAGACAAATATTTGTGTTGCAATTACGATTGCTGTAACATGCACTGTCATTTATTATCAAGCTTCCACTTGCCCTAAATTTGGTTTTAAAAATTTTGGCACTATAAATTATGCAAGTTTCACACATTCAGAGACAGTCAATCATGATGTGCGTTGCAAATGGTTAAGCATTTCTTGCCACAGAGGTTCTATTTATTGGATGATTGAATAAAGGCTCTTACTTATTTATTTTTTTTCTTTAATAGTCAAAACAAGTTGCTAAGAAAGTTTTGTTGAGCATGTATGACACGGTGCTGTGATGCATTTCAAAATAAGTATCATTGTGTGCACACATTTTCATGAAACTTTGTGATACGTATCTGCGCATATGTCCATCTCCCCAGCTGCCTTCTTTCTTTTACTTTTGACATGTCAGGTGCATGATTTAAAGATTGGCTGATTATTTGCATTTCATTTTATGCTTTAAACATGCTTTTACGCAGCTAGAGCTTATTTTTCTTTGCAGGCAAGCAACAAAAGAAGTCAAGTGCAGCGCTAAACAAACAGGAAGAACTCTACTACGAGGCTCACTACGAGGTGGCTCCATCCACTGTCCCACTGCTGCCACCCGCTCCCGCGCGTTTTCTGAGCCTGCAGAAGTTTCAGGCAAAACATGTAGGTAACGATCCTATCAATTGAACAGCTTTTATTATTAAAAAAAAAAAGGATTTACTCCCAAGCACAGATTTTTAATCGGTGAACCTTGAAGGGGCAGTACTCATGTTTATAACAAGCTAGGATCTATCAAAGCGTCTCGTGTTGTAGTTTTTGATTTCTCAAGCACCAAATTTGCAAGGCCCATTCTTTGAACTTTCTAGTTGGGGACGTAAGATAAAAAAATGTTCAAAACACCCAAGGGGTTGTATGGTCACCGTGCTGCAGTGGACGTCATCCCTGAAACACAACCTGAAGAGAAAATAAAGCGCGGAGACCCTTCGAGGTAGCACATGCTGGCATTGCATCTTTGTTACAGTTTCTGCACACTCATGGACTGCCACATTTTTCCACCTGCTAGACGTGTAAAGCTCTTCTGTAGAAAAGAAAAAAGCTGATTTGCAGATTGTAGGCCTTTTGGACTTAATGATCTAATACGTTGATAATATATTTTGTATTATACGTTCATAAGGCTGATTGATAATGTCGTGAAATGTTTGTTTAAGGCCCAAACCACAACGTCAATCTCGACTCATAGCCGAGAAGCTCGACTTGTAGCTTGGATTGGAAGCAAGAACAACCAAACTTGTTTACTAACTACTGTAACCAGCTTGCATGGCAAAGTAATCTCATAAATAAACCAGCAGCATCTTAGAATGCTATTGTCGAGGGTTCTGCAAAATTAAGTATGGTATATATCATGTATCATCATTAACACATGAGCACATTTTCATGCAATATATATAATGAAGGTGCTTCATGGCATGGTTCGATAACATCGCCGTTTTTACCTTCAATCTGTGATTGATTTTCTTCACCGTATCACACGTGACCCCTCAAAGATCTCCCTGAATCTTCAGCCACTTCCTCACTATTGCAAAAACTGTGTTGTTCCAGGCATAATGCATCTTATTCAGGAGAGGCTGATGTTTAGGTTTTTTATATATGACACTATCTCCTTGTAACAGGTAAGAAGTAAAGATTTGACCTCTTTCTAGAGTGAACTTGAGCCCAGAAAAAGTGTTCATGCTGCAGTGCAAAAAAATACGGAAATAAAGACATACACACAGGACAAGTGTTTTCTTGTGTGTATCTTTTCTTCGTCCTTCTGTTTTCCTGTACTTAGGCATGAACTGATTCTATATACCGTAGGCCAAAGTAGCTGTGTTGCAGGAAAAACGGCAACACTTCGAATACTCTATGACACTATTGGCAAGTGTCGTATTTAGTCATTTAATTCTGGCCTTGACTGTTTAATTGTTATGCCCTGTTTATTCTTGGCCTTCCAGAAAGAGACCGAAACAGTGAACAACTGTAATAGGCCAAGACTGTCCTTGTCAAGCTGGACACCGTGGCAGTGCGAAGAGCAGCGAACTCAGTACGTGGCTCACTCGAGCAAGACGAAGCTGTACGTCGAGGTGATGCGCTTCATCGAGAACACACGTTTTGCCGACGAAGAACTCGACGCATACAGCCTCGAACTGAAGCCCTTTCTCCAGATGGAGTACGTTCTTTCATCGGACGAATGCCTTTCGCCCGATCCCAATTTAGTTGGTGCAGGCAGCAAAGACAGCAGCACGGGCAAAAAAGGTCCAAGAAAGAAGCTTACCAAGAAGGCTGACAGACGGGTTGTTGCAGACGACGTAAAGGAAGAGACGGACGAGAAAAATTGCAAGGGTCCCAACAACATGGCTTTATCTGTGGTGAAACAGGAGGGACCTGAAGATGCGGACAAGGTTGTGAAGAAGAAGAAGAGACGAGTCATCACCGACTTCTTCCAGGACAAGTCGCAGTCACACGATTCGTCGTCGTGCATTTCGTTCGAAACTGACCTCTGCGAGAGGGTTGAAGAGATGGATTGTCAAGAAAATGTAAAGGCAGAGGAAGAGTGCGTAGTGCTCGTTTCTTCGGGAACGCACGATGTTGACATGGAGAATAGGGGAAACGCTGACCCAGCCGACTCAAGAGAAAAAGAGTTGGAGCCAGATCTAGTTGAAGTTGAAATTCAGACGCCACCGAGGCTGGACGTTGACGTGTTTCCCAGTCCGGGTCACGCGCTGCCGCCTGTTGATGTAGCGAAAGTGGTGTTTGGACACGGCCAGGCGACTGACGACAAAACTGCAAATAAGCTTGTTATTGATGTGACACATGATAGCATGGATAGCAGGGGTTGTGGAGGTGGGGCACCTGACATGGAATGTCAAAAGTCAGGGACCAGAACAAGGAGTTGTGAAATGAAGTTTTCGAAACTGGAAGTTGATAGCGACATTGAAGATTTTCTTGACGACGAATGCTTCAAAGACGAAAAGGGCCTTAGTGGCGATGACCACAGCATTCATGAGCAGCCTTCAAGTACTACTGAAAAGGCATTACTAGAAGTTGACAAGGTGCACTCAAAGGTGTGTTAAGTTCTTTTTAGACACTTTAGAAGCATTTTGATTCTTGTTTTCCTCATCTCATAAACTTATCTGCAAGGAATGAGTAATAATTGCTCACCGTAAATGTGTCATGCAGCTTGCTTGTGAGATCTTGCATGTTTGAGTTTTAGTCGCTGTAAAGTGAAGTGAAATGCTGGCATCTTTTAAACCTGCAGTAGTCACAATTTGTTAGATTATTCATGTCAGGTTGTTTCATTAAGTCCAAAGACTTTATGCCAACTTACATGACAGAACACGATTATTACTGTAGGTTGGTGAGAAGCAGACAGAAGCGTCAAGCCAAGCTGCTGTGGAAGCTTGGGACCTCATTGGAGATGTCAACATGGACAGCTTCTGCAATGAGCTGTTTAACTCTGACGCAGATATCCTTAGGGACAATGTGTGTACAAAGGTACTTCCGTCACTTCTAGTACGCTTGATGTAAAAAGTCACCTTGTATGTATTTTTGTCTCCTGCTGTTTTTCATCTCAGGTGGATGACAAGAAGAAGCCAGTCCCTAAACCGCCTGTGATATCGACTCGGGATCCAACCTTGCTTTCGGAGTTGGGCATACATTCTGAAGATTTGTTCGACACAAAGTGGGACCAGACAGCAGACAACACTGATGCATTGAAGGTGATTATTCTGACTTCATTACTGACAAGTTTGACAAATTGTGCACGTCTTGAAATGCCTCACCAAACAGGTTGCATGTTTAAATGCAATATGGTTATTAGTTTTTGACTAAGTATACTAATTCAAGAGTAATAGCAAGAAATGTGTTATGTGGTTCTGATGAACGTGTATTGCTATCTTGGAGGCTGAAGTGGCAAGTGGTGTCACTTTGGTGTCTTGTAGTGGCATAGATTGTCATGTAGTGGCAGTGTGTATATTAACATATGTATATTGCAGTGTTATTAAAATTATATGGTGTTATTAAATTAATGACATGAAAGGGAAGCACATCTGTTGCTAATTAATGAAGAGTGCAATTAAGCTGGCTTTCATTGGCGGCATGCTAACATCACAGATCTGGTCATGTAACAAGTTTACAGCTCCTGGTAATTTCTTTTCATTTTGATTTCATACTCCCCTTTCTCTTTTCTTTGCCAGGGAAAAAATCACGGGTGTATCAACTTGATTGACTTAAGTAGTAACTTCATTAACCTGACTATGCCATTTCCTTATTTAACTTGAAATAAGTGATTTGATTTAACATTTCATGAATCGCTTCAAACTCTTTTCAACCACTTGAACTAACCCTTGACTCTTTTGTATAAAGGTTTTTTTGAACATTAAATTAAATCACCTTTGGCATGCTTTACAGCCCGGTGATAAAGGAGCCAGGGCCTCTAGTCCGATCATAATTTCGTCACAAAGGCTCGCACCACCCTCCCACTCCACACCATCCCGAACAGTTCCAACAGGAAGCTTTGTCAACGCAGCAGTGTCTCCGAGGGATCTGGATAACGGTCCCGGTGGCATTTGTGTGCCATCCCCCATTAGACGTGCTGTACCGGAGTGCATGGAGAATAGTGACTGGAACCTTCACAGTGATAGTGACATGGAGCTCTTCGAGAACGCTTCCGATGGTCACGTTTCTGATCAAAGCATCAACTCCGGTGGGGAGGAAGGGTGTGACAACATGGGAATCACTGAGCTCTGCAACTTTATCGAGGAGAACTCCGTTGTGGAAGAGGCACGAGACGATCCTGTTTCTCGTCGCAGCCTGCTTGCGCAGAAGGTTTCCGGTTCTCCAACTGAAAATGTGGAAACGATAAAGCTTATCGTTTCCTGCAATGGCCCTCAGGAAACTGCGTCTTCCTCTGTAAACTTGAACAATCGTTCCACTGTTGGGAACAAGCAGAGCAGTGGTGGAAAGAGCCTGTCGATCAAACAGCTCTCGAATTCTTGCAGAAGGGACTTGAAAGCGGAGAAGTCATTCAAGGAGAGTTCTTCACGATCAATGGAAGTTGAAAGCAAGAGCATTGCAAAAGTAGCCAAGGATCCACTTTCATTGCACACGAGTTCTGTTCGAGACCAGAGTACTGCCGCCAAGAGCTTGTCAGCCATCCAGCAGGATCCCGATCAAAACCAATCGTCCGCTTCAAAACGTCCTTCCTTTGAGATCACCGTCGACTGGAGCGATTTCGATTCCAGCAGTGGCTCCGACGAACCTGTGGCAACGGCCAAGCCCTCAACGCAGTTGCAGAAGGGCAGAGCGTCACTCTCGTCGACCTTTGGTGCAGGTGGTATGACGCAGTCTCGAAATGTTCCCGTGGCTATGGTCAAGCCCATCATGTGCAGCACAGCAACCAAGACCGTAGATGTTATCAGCTCTGGTAAGTACATGCAGTGATGAACTGTTAACATGCATTCTGAGAACGATAATACAGTACTACTACAGGAGTTGTGTCGAGCTGACATTTCAACAAGCGGACTTGTTTTCCTCAAGGCTAGAACAGAACTGATTCTTTTAGAACTAGCGTGTCTACGCTTCGTACTGTCTCCTTCCACCTTTTCCTTTCTATCTTTTTTTTTTTACTGTAGTACTAGTGTGCTCAGTAATGAAACCTGAAGGCCTTTGTGATAAGGCCTGACTATTACGTTACCTGTTTGTGTTATTCTAATCGTTTTTAGTTATATTTCTGTGTATCCTTGTATACCCACTCCTGCCATAGCACAATTAGCGCTGTAGCGTGTGTAAATAAATAATAAAAAAAATAAAGAGGATGAAATGGGTTGTGAAGCAAAAATAGTCACTGATTATACAAGGGACATCATGCAGTGTTACGTACTGGCTATAAAAAAAGTTCCCGAATTGACTTTTTTTATGTGTTTACACATAGTGTGTCATTGTCAAGTGAAGATTTTTCATTTTATACTTCCATCAGCACCTTTTATTTTTAAGATACCTGGTAGTCAACGTTGCTTGCTAGTCGGGCGAGCTAGAACATGTCATTCACGATGATATTCAGCGCTGAGCACTAGACAAAAGATTGGAAGTTTGCCCCTCACTTGTCCTTTGTCTAGTGTTTACAATTAAGTCATTATGAGTTCCTAGTAGTGCCAATGAGCTCAATTTAGGGGATTTCCATAAGATGAAAATGCCTTTTTGTTTTGAGCCAAGTTGTGTAAATGGTAGTCATTGCGAAAAGCCTGGCACAATTGCAGAGCGTTAGTGCATTTCAGGTGATGACAGCCCAGTTCAAGTGAGAAGACGACCGTGTCAAAAGCGAATTTTGTCCCAGTCGTCAACTGAGTCTGAATCATCGCCAATTGCTATGCGGGTATGTTCGCCTGTATACATTTGTTTTTTGCGCTGTATTATCCCAGAGGGGCTATTGCTGCAGAGCATAATTTCGATTTATGCACTTACAGTGAAACTATCAGCATGACAAAAAGAATTTTAAAACAATATTCATCAAACTTTCTTTTTTTTTTGTCATGGAAGAATGCAATGTGCTAGCTATTTTAAACTTGCAATAAATTAAGCTCATTCTATGAGTTGCGTGCAAGACAGTTTTATGATCTGTCTTAATTGCAAGTAATCCGAAGCTTCTAACACAATTGCACAGAAGGAACAGCTTTGCTGGAAATCAAGCTGCAATTATGTAGTCCTCCAAGGGGACTGTTTATGAACCATCCTTGCAGAATGTTGGCTACACATACCCATACTTATGTATGATTGTCCTTATTTCTAAAATTTTTGCTGATGCTATCTAGGAAATACTTGAAAATTCCTGAATCAGAATGGTAAGTGGGGCGACTTGGTCAGTGTTCATTTCTATTGAAATAGCAACAAACAACATAACTTTTGCCGTAGAGAAAATGGTGCAGGTGGAATGTAGGCATCAGGGACCGCAATGGGAGATTAGACACACTGTTGAATATGTCCTATTCTGTACAGGAGTTATGTATCATATTTCTTTTACATGTAGTAATCAATTCTTGCAGAACAAAGTGGGCGGTGTGTGGAACGACTTTGTGAGCACCGGAGCAATATGGGAACTAATGGACACTCGTACTTGACAAAGCATTGCTGTGAATGTGGTTGCTGCAAAAGCTTTGCTGACACCGAAGTTTTATTTACACACAATAATCCGAGAAGACTTGAGGCAGTTGGAATATTTCGTATCACAAGGGGAGATAGAGATTGTGTTAGGCAATCCTTCCTAACACTGCGCGATAAATGGCTTATTTAAGCTTGACTTAGTTGGTTAGTGCTGCCAATGTACGCTCATCTCTTTTAGTAGGGCCCTGCAACACATTTTGAGCATGGTCATAAAATGCTGCTGATCAGTATTTGATTAGAGGCGCCCGAGAACATGCGGTCTCACGCTGCCTGCAATTCACAATAAATTATCAAAGTCAGCTAAAAAAATTGCTCTCTCTTCTCTTGACAAATTGCGGAGAAAGCTCGAAAATCCCTCGTAGAAAGCCTTCTATCAGCCATTGGCTCATTTGAACATGGCGCCCTCAGTCGTTACTGGGATTCCCGCGGGAGGCCATGAGTTGTCCATGCGTGCATGTGCGATCACACCGGAAAAGTTGCATATTCGAATAAATAAATAAAAAAAGTGTCCAAGGTCACAAGGCACGGGCAACGAGGCAAGCGTGACGTATTTTCTTTGCCCGTGCCGTTCCTCCCTGCTTTTGTCAGGACGAGAGAAGAGAGAATGCGATTGCAGCATGCGACAAATGTTGGTAACTTAGCTCGTACTGGATGGATACTTCAATTTTTTTGCGGAATTGAATTCATGAGCTAATAAGCTCTTTTAGTGAATTCATACCATGGTTACTAAAAGTGTATAAGGGCCTCTTTAATCTGCGTCACCTACCACGTGTTACTTTGATACACTCAAACATCGATATAAGGAACCCAGATATAATGAAATATTAGTTATTACAAAGTAAATAAAAAATAGTCTTGCAATATATATGGTGTTAGGAATATATCTTTATAACGAATTTTTGTGTGTAACAAACTTCGTGTAAGATGCAACTTTAATATAATGAGGCTTCAGTTATTATCCATGTTCTACAGGTAAACTTTAGTTGCGAGTTCAGCACATGTCTTGTGTGCTCCTGTTCTTGTCCCTCATCTACTAACACACTGTTGTAATGAATTGAAAATTTTTATGGAGCTGTTGATTGCCATTCCTTGACTGTAACAAAAACTATTTCACCTTGTTTATGACCGATCTCATCAGAGACCTTCGGCCAGGTGCTTGGACGACAGTGACGACGACTTTCAAGCACTCACCTGCAGGAAGCAGCAGCAAACGCAGAAAAGGAGGCTGCAGAAAGTTATCAATAAAAAGGGTGAGCGTGTCCTTTCATAGTGCTATCTCAACATATTGGTGCACAGAAAGGCGACGCAGGAAATGTATGTTTCTGAGCATCATAGTGGACGTTAACGCTTTACGTTGTTTCAGTTCCAGAAAATGGTGCTGCTACACGGAAGAAGCCGCAGCAGAGCTCAGTTGAGTATTGTTTAGGACTGCTTTTGCAGCTTGCTTTGATGATGATTTATCGAATTTTTCGTGATTGTTTGTTTTTGCATTGTGTTTTAGAGGAAGAAGAGCAACTTCATTGAACACGAAGCAGATGTCTCGGCAGACATAGTCAATTCGTCCGACGAGTCGGAGAACAGCAGCCTTGATCATTTGGATGAAAGCTTCATCGATGACCAGACTCAAGGTTTGTTCTGAAGCACGGCTTCGTTTCGTTTTTCCTGTCATAAGTCCGGTTGCATATAGGGACAGGCCGACCTCCTCAGGTTAATCTAGAACTCATTCTCAATGTTGTAAAATCTCTCCCACATGCCTCTCACTCATAAGATGATAGCATGCAATACGTGTGAGGGAAGCTTATGACAAAGGTTCAGCGTTGATTGGGAAGGGCAACACGGTGTTGTGGTAAAAAATATGTGAGAGAGAAAGAGAGAGAAAGCATGAAAAAGAGAAATAAAGCAAAACAAACCGGAGCGGAGCGAGGCATCTAGGGAAGGGGGTTTTAGCTCCACTAACGTGAGACATGGGAAGGGGTGAAGCTTGTGGTGTTTTAAGGGAGGCTACTTTAATGAAGCACTGGTAGTGCCAAGCCTGAAACCGGGCAGGTAAGGAAGGTTGTTTTCGCTCCACTAATGTCATTGTAAAACTGTGTCGGAATGGAGCTTACCCTAAGGCACTTCTTCATCCCTGTTTCAGTTTCTTACGGCATGTAGGGAAAGGTGTTTCTTCTCCACCTACGTCATCAGCTATTTCTTGGACTGACTGTTGCCTTCATCGTCTTTAGTGGACCAGTAGCAAGTTGTGGGATTTAACCAGCTTTTATGATGGTTGGTGAATACCCGACACAGCGCGATGGCAGGAGTTGCCGGCAAGCCTAGCCCCTGAGATGCTTTGCACCTAAAATGATAGGTGTAACCAAAGAGAGCAGTATGGGTCAGGGACAAGCTAAGATGTCATTATTGAAATCTAGTGGGCATGAACAAAACATTTAGGGCAAAAGCAAGATAATTGCTAGTCATCAGGAGCGACAGATTGGATTCCAAGATAAGGCGAGCGTGCATGGGTGAAGCAGAAATTCGGGTGGGCAGATGAGATTGAGAAGGTTGAAGGTGTCATCTAGCGGCAGCAAGCAATGGACCTGTTTAATTGAAGAAACATGAGAGAGGCCTTAGTCCTGCAGTGGACATAGTCAAGCTGATGACGATCAGTATGGAAGGGTTTGTAATCAGTTTTTATTTGATGTTAAAGTTGGTCTCGAATTGCCAGATCTGACATTAACAGCATGATGTTAATAGCATGAGCTTTTCAAGATCTTGCAGCGTAACTGTTTTGGCCTTCTGAATCTCAATGTCCATCTACTGAGATAACATCTGTCCATTTCAGTTGCCATTACGAAATGTCACATTACGAGCATGAAAAACATTTCTTATTTAAATATTGCATTTAGATGCTACAGATGGGACCTCCATGTATGTAAAGATGGTAGCCATCTCTTCGGATTGCTCATTCTAAAAATCATTTCGATTGGCCCATACAAGGAGTTCAAGCTGTAAAATGACTTTATACACACACAAGTTTAAGCTGCATTTTATACTTTTGTGACAACTTGTTGTACTCCAAAGACCCTCTTGCGGGCCCTTTTATTTATCTGTGATGACACAATAGCGTAGACCAAACGAATGGAAATTTTCGTGATTGCTGACGAAAATGACAAGTTTAAGTCGCTTGCATTTGTATCCACATGCATCAAACAAAACCTCGAGGGTGATTATTTTACATAATCGATTCCAGAGTAATATTGAAAGGCCTAAAGCTGGGTACCCAGTCAGGTTCTGGGTTACTACAGAAATTAAGGTAAGCCATTGCTCATCTCACACGAACAACTGCTTTCTAGGAACAAGTGAGCTAAGATTAATTAGATCAAGAGTAACAGAGTAGTTCAGTGTTCTAACTGAACTGCGACTTTTCTCCCATAATGGGTTGAGTTCCAGATGTGTGAGCCACTTTGCTAATGCCACATGAATTTGGCTTTGAAACAGGAAGTTGTCCAGTAACAGGTGTGTTCACTGCCGTAATCTGTTGTAACTTCACTTTGCTGTAGTGATGCTGTAGTGATGCACCATCGATGCAAAAGTACCTTAATTTTATTCTGTATTCTTGATAAGCATGTTACTTTTTTCATGCTGATGCCAGTGCGAAATTTTCTAGATCTATTTCATTGGATTTATGGTTTGTAGTATTGAGTTTTGACCTGATACGAGATCTATTAAAAAGCAAGCGTAGCTTGTTTCGCCTATGTGTTAGTTAGTTGAGTGGAACACTTTTCCCCTTAAAGCAGATCACAGTACAGCTGGAATTTCATCTCGTTGAACCAGAACAAAAATATGAGTGGCACAGCAAAAACACACATACACACACTCAAGAATTATGTCCCAGGATATCTTGACCAAGCCATTGTGGGTCTGCATTTCTGGTTCTTGAATTTCAGTGCCGAACAAGACCCTCTACCTCCAGACAGTTCGCAGCCCAGTAAATCCTGCCAAGTTCAAAATAGGCCACTCAAATCATGTTCGATACTCTGAGGTGTTTTCGCAAGCCGTGTCCCAAGATGAAGCCGACTACGAGCGAGACAGCTTTTGCGTGGGTAGTGATGACTCCTCGGCCTTGCATCGACTGAGTTCCTCAGCATCTGACCAGGTAGCGTTAGGTCCCTGTTTATCCTGTTTGCTTAGCTCTGCTTATTATTAGCAGTTAATAGTGAGTGTCTCAGGCATGAAAATTCGCGATGTTCTGCGTAGCGGTACTCATGAATTTAAAAGCGTTTATTTACGTCAAAGTAATGCACATTATTATGCTTTACCATCTTCATTTTTCTTGCAATGGTGCCATAATTTTGACTGTGACCCTTAAACAGGAGCCAACATGACATTTAGCATGACATGATACAGCAATTGCATATACCAGTCTTATAATAAAATTTTTCATGTCACATTTCGGTTTGTGAGCACTGTATATATATTGTTGCAAACATTGTTCTAGTGTATTGAGTTGCGCTTCCTTGTCGTTCATCCGTGCTTGTGAACGTAGTTCGTGTCATATTTCTGCTCTGTTCCCTACCATGAAAACGTGGTTCCCTTTACATTGCCATAACATTTGGTAGGTTATTCTTTTCTCAGCCAATGTGCTATACTGTGGCCCGCATTGTGTGTGGGGAACGGAGTTTTTGGTCTCCCATGAATGAGTTCTATGAATGGAAAGGGAAATGATAAGTGTAACCTTAAGAGACAGGAAAATAGCAGCGTGGGTCAGGGCACAAATGGATGTGAAAGACATCATAATTGAAATATAAATTAAGAAAGAGAATGGACATGGACCGAGCACGTAGGCAGGATAAACGCCGGTCATTAAGGGTAACTGACTTGATTTCAGAAGGCAAGTGTGTTAGGGGGAAACAGAAAATTAGTTTGGCAGATGAGATTACCAAGTTTAGTGGTATAATGTGGCAGCAGAAAGCACAGGACCGGGTTGATTGGTGGAACGTGGGAGAGGCCTTTGTCAGGAAGAGGCTTAGTCAGGATGCAGCTGGTGGTGATGATGATGATGACAATGAATGAGTTGTGAATTGTGTGATCCAGATCTGTTGGTTGTAATTGCTGATTTGGTTTAATCAGATGATCCTTTTGATGGTAATTATTTTCATATGACTGCATAAGAGCAGTTTTTCTTGTTGTTGCTGCTGTTGCCGTCATCGTAAGTGTTGCCACTGTTGTTGTCGCTGCTGCTGCTGCTGTTGTCACTATCATTCTTGTTATCGTTGTTGTGTGCCATCAAGTCACAGTTGCCTGAGATGTGCTAGCCATCTAATGGCTGTTCAGCAGATACTTTGGTTTATGCATGCTGCCGTATATTGGCCGCACTATATTATGCAAAAGCTTCCCATGCAAGAAGAACAACATTATTTTAATAAGAATACTTGCTTGTTATTGTTTACTATGTTTTTTTTTTCATGCATACAACTCGGAACAATTGCAGAGACCAGTAGTACATAGAAAAACCAAGTTGGCATAGGCCTATACCTTGCATCAAACTGTAGCTAAAATGCTAATTTTTTTCTTGTTGTAGTGGTGCATATCAGGTGACGTTACGCACAGCTGTACGTTATGCACAGATGTTCATGGCTCATTTTTGTCACATTTCTTTGCGTGCAGCTCGAAGAAGAAGAATCACCTGTGCGCAGCCGTGCGAAGACGAGGCAGCGCAAAAGGAGAATTCAAATATCGTCTACCAGTGAAGAGGAATCATGCCGCACTAAATACATCTCGAAAAGCCAGAAAATCGAGGTCGATGACAGTCCGGTCAGCAGAAAACACCGAGGCGAGGAACTTGCCAAGCCAGCTTCGGAAGTTTTCAGGTGCGTCGCTGCCGCAACCGAGGTTTCAGGCTGCGCGTTAGCCAGTCTTCCAGGAAGCCTAACGTCTGCGTTGACGCCAGGATCGGAAACCTCCCGAGTGTTGTCGAGGGAAGAGCGGCTTCGGCTTCAAAAAATAAGGCAGGAAGAATTTCGCAGGACGCATATGGCCAGTCTTCACAACAAAAGAAGCCTTTCGACAGACGTCTGTCAGTCGCCTATAGAAGCCCAGGTATGCTACGCTTCCACATTTGTACGGCAACTGCGTAAGAGTGACATGAGTGAAATGTGTCGTTGTCGTAAACTGTCTTCCAACCCTCCTGTTTTTTTTTTTGTTTTTTTTTCTTGTGTTTAAAAGTTCACGAATGCAAGTTCTATTTGCCAAAAAGCTTTACAGCTCTTGACACATAGGGTTGGGCAAAATGTCCCAACAAATGCAGGCAAGAAGAAATTGGGGTAGTGCCTACACTGGCTGTTCTCTAGTTGCATTTCAAGACACCATTGAAATCGGAGAGTAATCTTGCATAAATCAAGTTTATTCAGTTAAGTTTCTTGATACAATGAAATCAGTAAGAGCAATATTGCTAAAGAAGTCATGTGATTTAGGAAGAACTTGTTGCTTGTCGGTATCTACGGTTTTGAGTTTACTGTTTCTAGTGTGCTGCACTTCAGTATTTAAATTATTGTTTATGAGATATGTATAACAGGCATATTCTCGAGCCAGACATTTAAAAATTGTTTCCATTTTTTCCTAGCACTTCTCTTCATTGTATTGCAGTATTTTTAAATTACCAACTTCAAGTATTTGGGAACAGCATAAAAACGGTTGTTGAACATAACTCATCTAAGTAAAAATACATTTGTTTCGCAATCGAAAAATAAAACAAAATTTTACAATGCTTGAGAGCAGAAATTCATCTGAATGTGGGCCTCCAGTTTACCTAAATTGTGTAGAAAACAGATCCTTATAAACTGAATCATAATAATCTGCTTATTTGACTTAAAAAAACACTTTTTAAAGTAATAATAGTTAAACGAATGAATAAATTATTGACTAGCATCAATAAAAAAGCTTATTGCCTCCTGACTGCCATAAAAATAGTGTAGAGTCCATCAAGTATGAGTGAACTTGCAATGCTCATATCAGCCAATGGTTGTGGACTTTGGGTTTATGGGTAGTCCTTTGGGTTCATGGCATCATTTAGTTGAGAAAAGAGGGAATGACTTCTAGCCGACTATTTTCAATTGCAGACCGCGTGCTGTGCCATAATGTTTGGCTTACGTGTTCTCAGGATCTTGGGCTACCGATCGGCAACACTTTCAGACCATGCTAAAAGAGTGTTCTGGGCCCCTTTAAATAGAGTCTGCTAAGCACTTGCCAGTTTTTGTCTTGCTGCCCCAGTTTCAACATTTGTGAAAGCATAGTGTGGGTGACTTGAATTTGGGATCTGATGGTATTTAAATGAAAACTGAGAGGCCCTTTTTGATTTGACACACGAGTACAGTGCACTAGTACAAATAAATCTCGCCATTTATATACAGAGTTGCATTTTAAAGCAAATGTGCTTGACGTCTTCCTCAGGTTCAAATCGACGAGACTATCACAATTATAGTGGACACCAGAGAGATAGCATCAGGAACGGTAAGCATTGCATTGATTCTGTTCCCTGTCAATGTTTAGATAGACTTGCAAACACATACATTGTAACACATTGCAAACACATGGCAAACACATACTTATATAGGGTCTCTGTCATGGCACTAGGTATGCTGTGTTCTTTTCGCACACTGTATTCACTCGTCACAAAAATTTGCTGGCTGCTCATCTGTTGTCATCATTGTCATGTTTCATTATCATGTGCGCTGGTAGCATAGTAATTGACATAATTGAATGATTACCTGTTGCTAGAGTAAGTTATCAAGATTCATTTTGCACTGCTTTGTCATGAATTTAAAATTAATAAAATTTTGATCTGCGATTCAAACATTTTAATGCTGTAACCTCCTGAAAGGGTCGCTTCACTGCAGCATGCAGCTGCTCTGCCGTGAGGCCATATTTTAAGGTTAAATGTACATATTGTTTGCACCTTAATTAACATTTTCAAAAATTTTGAAAGTGTGTTATACTGGCTTATATACACTAATTATAGCAAATTTTAAAATGAACCATCTTGTACCTTTTACAGCTTGCACCCTGTAACTATTCAAATCTTGCTACTATTCTCAGCTGCTTTCACTTAGCAGAAAATTAAAAAAAGTAACATTCGCACAAGCCTAGTTGTAATTCTCAAAAATATTGAGCAAGCAAGTTGGGTCGTGACGAAAATGCTCAGTTTTTCTTATAATATGTGATACATACTACTATTCAAACAATTGAATGTAAACATTCGACAGAAGCCTCTCTGGTTGGGTATGAAACTGGGAGATGATTTAGACTCCAACCAAAAGTTTTCAAGAAACCCGACGTTTCGAAACCGACTTGGTTCCTTCCTCAGGGGTGACATACAGAGGACAGCCCATAACATCAACCGCTCTCTCGGAACCCTTCCCCAGTGTATACACACGGACTGCCCTCCACGGCAAAACGAGAGAGAGAGGGGGGGGTCATTATCCACCCCGCGATTGCTTTGAAGACGCCGCTGCTACGTAGTCTGCGCAGTCACTCCTGAGGAAGGATCTAAGTCGGCTTCGAAACGTCGGGTTTCTTCAAAACTTTTGCTTGGAGTCTAAATCATCTCCCCTATTCGAACAATTCCGTTTAAAATCGTTCGACCAAGTCACCATTCACTTGAATTTGCTTTGAACCTCAAGTTTACTAATCGCCCGCCCTACTTACTACCACAGGCCCTCGTGTCTGCGTTGCGTGCCTTCAAAGGCATACAAGTGGAGGTCTTCTCCCTCGCGGCTGGAAGCCTTGTAGTGGGAAGGAGGTGCTGCATACTGCGAAAGGCCCTGGCCGACTTTGGCAATCCCCAGAACAACTCCCGCCTCGTGGCCGAAGTGAGGCACCTGTTCGAGCTGTACGACCGACCGTGCCTCATCCTTGAGCGGCCACAGAGGGTCAAGCCTGGCGAACGACCATTGTGAGCTTGCCACGTCTAGTATTGCAACCCAGAATTGTTCAATCATATCGGTTTCAATACTGCATCCCGAAACCAGGAAATACAAGCAAACTCACGAGCGAGAGTCTCGTTTCGACAGACTTGAGGCCTTCAGGTGGTATGTGAGGGTTTAGTGGTCAGCAGCCAGCTCGTAAAAAGATCCAATAAAATGTACAGAAGGACGGTCGCCGCTGTAGGTCACTTGGTAGAGCGCTGGACTCATTATCCGATGGTTGTAGATCATGTCCCTACCGGGGGCAAAGTTGTTTTGTTGTCCTCTTTAATTTAAGTTCACATCACAATCACGAAACTACTGTCAGTTTACAGATAATGTCCCCTATATTTTTTTTACATAATCTTTTTTGGTTTTCTATAAGATTGTATTCAACAAAGAAAAACAAGCCGTTGATTCTTTCTCCTATTTTGTGTAACCTGGGAGCAACAACATAGACCACACCGCACCTCTGTAGTCTTCACCGTCACAGTGTGTTGCCATGAGAAACATTAAGTAAAGTACCTTGAAAAAGAAACGAAGAGATTAATGACCACAGTATAATCTTTGAAAAGTAAATCTCAAATGTGAGCCCACTGATCACTTCATTAGGCATGCCTTCTTCTGTGATGCAAAATGTAAAGAAGTCAAGAATTAGTTTTATATTTGGACCTTCAGGTGGCTCTACAATCAGTTGACCCCCCACAATTTTGACGAGTGGCATGTCCAGACATTAAATACATAGTACCTAAGGTGAGTTTTCCAACTCGTATGGTTGAAAAACTCCACTGATACCAGCATGATTGAATAATAGGGTCTCGTCATTCCAGACTGCTGGGGAGAGCTTGAAGTGCTGTGTACGCAAATGCTCATTGGCTGAAACTTGTTCTTTGAGCTGTCATGGCAACCCAAGATGACCACTTAAAGGAATGCATTGAAAATGGGCTAATAGTGGTGACATGTGTTTTAGATTTAACAAATCTTGTGCCTAACTTTGTGAGCATTGCTTGATTGATGAAAAAAAGTACTTCTAAAATCAACTGCTTCACCTTGTTGGTACTTTGTTGTTAAAATGCATGAAATAGAACAACTAACACAGACGTAGGACTGAACTTTTCAATGTTTTTTATGAATATCACTGCTGATTCAGCTCTGTCTCATAGTATGCGCTTCGGTTTAGAGGTGTCTTGCTTTAGTCAGGATAAAAGAAGTCGTTGCTACACTTTAAATTCTCATAAACTTGTTTTAGTGTACTTTCGTAACGTCTTATTTTTAGACAAAGAGCCGTCTCTTTTTTTGTGAACTTTTCCTTTAATTTGAATTATGACACTTTACCTTTGGCTGTTCAAAACCAGTGAATCTGAACGGCATTTTCTCTTGCTGATGTCGGCTATGCGAAACTGAAGCTGATAACCCGTTTCTCTTCAGAACCTGTATTTTTCAAATGTGTCATATTTCTAAGTATATGTTGAAAACTGGAGCAAATTGACAAATCTCATTTGATCAAGCTTGGTGCCACAACAAAGAAAGCAAATTGTCTTCATTTTTTTTTTTTTTTTTTCAAATACTGCCATGCAAGATCTAGACCATTCCAGACTGCTTCGTTTTTGATGTCCTGGCCCCTTGTTTAATGGTTCTGTTATTTATTTCGCTTTTCTCTTACATGTGGCTTTAGCAAGAGGACGAAGTACTTTGACAACATGTTGATGTTCCTGAACTCTACGCATGCCAAGGTGTTCTTTTCGGATTCTCAAGGTGGGTGATCAAGATGGAACTTGGAATATTCATATGTATTTTGTCATTACCACTTATGTAGCAGCAAAGCAGATTGAAAGCTTGACTTAGATTAATGTGTAGCCATTGTTTCTGTACAGTCGCTGTTTGTGGTTTATTCAATTGCTGCGACAGAATTGAGGGTTCACATTGCAGTGACATGAAAAACTATAACATGTACGTTCAAACATGAAATAACATATTGGCACGATTGTAAGTCGACTCGAATATAGAACCGGGGGGTGGGTGGAGCTCTAGTTTTGGTTTCCATTGCAAGCCGACCCCCCCGATTTCAGATTTTTAATTTAGACAAAATGTATCGACCTAAAATCGTGTAAGTGTGGTATGCAGGTCCAAATGTAAGTTATGTGTTACGTACATTTGAGGCATTAGCCCTATCACATTAGTTAGCTTTTAAATTTTATGAGTTGGTTATGTAACTCAGAGGCTTGCCCCTTGCTCACCCTCACATAGTGGTCATTTCTGTTCTGTGGCTTTCAGCAAACACGGCCGAAGTAGTTGTCGCCCTCGCCAAGAAAGAGTCCCAGAAGGGCATGGCGCTTGCATCACCCAAATGCCTTCAGGGCAAGAATCCCGTGAGTACCTGCGCTGCACTGCCTGCCAGTATTTGCTTGCGTAATGAACACATTCACACAATAAACGCACCTCCAACTTCAGTCGTCAAAATTTGGAATTTATTTTTTTTTCGCCGTCAACCACCAAAGATGAGTGAAGTGCAGTAAAGAAGTTGTTTCCAAACAGTGTACGCGTATGTCAATTGAGAAAAGGTAAGCGACCTAACTTTTCTTTTGCAATACCGCATTTTCTCGCTCATCCCGAAAAAGTATTCATAAAATTTTACCCACATAATAAACGCACCCCCAACTTCGCTTCTATTTTTCGGGGAAAACAAAGTATACATTAATTTCGCGAGTAAATACTGATATTTTGTTTTCCCAATGTGAGCAGGCTTTTACATGTCCGCCATTGTGTTCCAGGTCGTGCAATTCTACCTTGCATTTCCGAAGGTCAGCTTGGCTACAGCAATCAGCTTAACCACCGCATATCCCTCTGTGCGGAGTCTCGTGAAAAGGTGAGAAACTGCAATGAACCTTTCAGTTTTAAAGTAGTAGTTAACAGCAAAATAAACAGCCGGCAGAAAGAATGCTTTTGTTGACTATTGGTGAGCACCAGCTTGCCCGGTTTGGTATTCATGCGAACATGTTCAAGTTGTGCCTGCCTGCGGCTACGATACAAAATCGTTGCAGTGCCCAAAGATTGAGACATGATATCAGAACTTTTATGATGCAATTTATAGAGGCACTGTGTTGCGTTTCTTTTACTATGTCTCGTATGTCTGAGCACTGTAAGTTGCATAAAATGCACATTACCAACTAGCCCAACTATCAGTCTTGCTTCAAAACTATTAGTATGGCTACTGATATTCGTAGTTTCTCTTGATAACTGCACCAGGCTGCTAAGAATCTTGTACTAAAGATGACGCTGGTTTTGATGAAAGTCTTTGTTTCAAAGGGATACTGAACAGAAATCGGTACAGCCGACGAAACTTCGAAATTCGACTCTGAAGACCTCACTGTTCTAATAAACAGAGTTCTTGTTCCTTATTTGGAAACAGTTGGCGATATTTCTGATGGATTGTTGGCGTGTGGTGGCTGCACACGAGTGCGAGCTGTGTCGTCACAGTCGCTGAGCGTACGCAAGATGCACGTGTTCCTGTCCTCCTCTTCCCTTTCTTGACATCTCCTTTCGTCCCACTCTCCCCCTTCCACAAAATCGCCGGTGCTTTGCCTCAACCGGGAGCATTGTTCGCTGACAGTGTTGTTCATACCAGTTCTGGGAACCATAGGTGGAGATGAGCGAGTCGAGAGATGAGCGAGTCTGTTGGCTAATTTGAACACTGCGTGCTGCATACTTAGCGTGGCCGCTGCGAATATGTCGTCCCATACCCGGACGCGCGCTTGCAATCGCACTCAAAGTAAGCCACAGGTTCAAAGGAAAAAAGAAAAATTGTTCAAGGTTATGACGTATGCTGACAATCAAATGTGTCTTCTTGTCCCCCTTCGTCCCCCCCCCCCCCAAGGTAGCAGGCTTTCGGTGTGTTCACTGTTAAAAGAGGGAGAAAGCACTTAAAGCACGCTACAAATGCCATGCAAAAAAAGCATGCAACAATGAGCAGAACATGAGTAAGAGAAAAACAAAGACAAAAAACAAGAGCACAGAAAAACGGCAAAGAAAAATTTATAAGAAAACGAAACATAAAAGTAAAGATAATATAACTACTTCGAAGGTTTCGATGCGTGCAAGTAGTCATATTATCTTTACTTTTCTGTTTCGTTTCCTTACAAATTCTTCTTTGCCGTTTTTCTGTGCTCTTGTTTTTTGTCTTTGTTTTTCTCTTACTCATGTTCTGCTCTTTGTGCCATATGGTTTTTATCACATGGTTACTGTCTCCTCTATATATTTTCGTGCTCTGCGCAATAAACTCAGTTGGAAGTTAGCGCTCATGTTTTTCGTGTCCTTCTTGTCTCTGTGTCGTCATTTTTTTTCGCGCTATAACTATCGTCATGCCATACCAACTAGCCCAAGCTGCCACACTTCTAAATCCACATTGAAGACACGGCTGTTCCGATAAGCAGAGCTTGTTTCACATATTTTTAAACCGTTGGTTGTATTTTTTGAAGGATTTCTGGCGCGCATCTGTTACGCTCCGGCACGAGCCTTGACGTCATGTGGAGGGTGCACGCATTTCTGTTCGGCTTCTTTCCTTTCTCCACCCCTCCTTTGCATTCCACTCTGGTCTTTCCACAAAGGCACTGAAACGTGCCATTCTTCATCACACCCAGGAGCAACTTGCTGCCGGTGCTGTTGTAGTGGTTCTAGAAACCGTAGCGGGGCTGGGTGTGTTGATAGACGTGAGCGACGACTGGAATTTTGGCATGTTCGTTTTGGATACACACAACGTCGCCAAACATCATCTCGTCTATTTATTTTATGTATTTATAGTTCACGGTTCATCCGCTAGATGTGGCTATTGGTGAAATATTCATGAACTTCGTTATATTCTGCTAGTTTTTGTGTGAAATGAAAGTTGTGTCTCACCTAATCTTTCAGTTTGACTGAAAATATTGCCAGCAATAATTTTGTTGAGTATCTCTTTAAGGAGAGATGTGATTCAATAAAGTTTTGATAACATGTAGCCTAGGGCAATGAACAATGAATATTTTTGCTGTATATATAAACTTTTATGCCGATTTAAATTATTTAATTAGTTTTGTGGTAAGTTATGCAGTTTTGTTTTGAGCCATGACAATGTGTAAGGTATAGTTTGTTTTTGATAAACTTTTTTTGTGCCACTAAGCCTTTATAGTTTTGAGCCATTATTGGCTCACATTGCCCCACATTAACTGTAGAATGCAAATAACTATCAAGAAGGTGCGTATGAGACATTTTAATAGACAACAAAAATTATGTAAGAATTCTTAGAGTTTTCAGCCTATACTAATTGCTTGCTTTAAGTTCGTAATAATTATGCAGGCAATATCAAACTTTAAATAAGATACTTGCACCCTGCACATGATAAGGAATATGTAGGCAAAATTTTCGTCTTGATCTGGCTATCAGGAGTACCAAAAACACGTCTAAACTCAAGAAGTTGCCAAAAACGTATCTCTAGAAAGATGTATTTTAAAGGTATAAGTCAAAGCTCATCTATATGGCAAAGATATGTTTTTTAAAATGATTTTTTCCATCATGAGAGCCTGGCAATTATTGTGATTCTGAGCATGTGGCTTTTAGTGAACTCCTCATACGAAATTCAGTGGCAAGCAATGAGAGGTGATGATTTCCGGAAGGCCCTGGACAATGAGCTCTTTTTGGTTCTTGGTAGCCACCTTGTGCTCTTTAAAGGCGATTTTAATCTACTTCGAGTTTACTTGAAATCTTCAGTCTTTTTTTATTGTTGTTGTGAAAGTAGGGAAACCAAACTTGTCAAAGCAAATGACATTAATAATAAAAAATATCTAATTTTGGAAATAACTTGCATTTTTTGGCTCGCATCTTCTTTTGAACAAAGGCTGACACCCACAGTTTCAAAAAAAGATGTAGATTGGTGCAAAAAGTTGTGAAGTATTAAATGCCATTTCATGCTCATTCAGGAGTGTATTTACACCTCGTTCAGTTTATTATTGTTGGTATAAACATTGCAAAAAAGAAGAGACTGTTTAGTAAGGTGTGCCTAATAACAGCTGTGTGGTTTTTCATATTCAGAATGCATTTGCTGCAACAACCTAAGGCCTTCTTCTTGTGCTCATGCAGCAAAACTTGTTTATGTTAGCCACTTTGCTGTTGCCTATGAGCAATTTTTGTGTAGCAACTATGCTAGTTATATGAAAAGTATTTTAATTTTACTTCATCCTCTCACATGACAGCGCATTTTCTTCTTGAATGCATACCAACTCAATTACTCAAAGGACTGAGAAAAAGCAAAACGAAACACTTTGTTGTTCTCTGTGAGAAGATGCAGTTATTAGTGTCACTGTTGGGCTCTTCTGCAATAATGTAACCAAACAATGTAAGTTCATGGTTAAATGATATAAACTAACAAACTCGGTTTCAGTATTTTTTTGTCCACTTGTTGACTGAATGTTCAGACCTAGGCAGCGTTGAATGTGCTCCTTACACTGATTGTTACTGTGTCTCTTATATCAAATCTGTCTCCTTTTCTTTTTATATTTTTTTAGTTCGGTGGAGGAGCTTCAAGAGCGAATCAAAATATCCGAAAGCCGTGCCAAAGACATTCTTGACTTTTGTAAAGCCTCCGCTATCGTTTGATTGGGAAGCCCAGGACGTTTTGTCTGCCATATACTGTACCATAAAGATTTTTTGTACTGCTTTAATATGCATGTGTGTGTGTGTGTGTGTCGCCTTCAAAATGACATCTTGTAAATTAAGACTGCTTTATGTAACATCCCACTTCACTTCTTTCAATTTTCTGAGTTGGGAGAGCATTCTGGAAGTTGAAATAAATGTGATGTGCTTCAGGACTCGCAGAAGCCCGAATGCGGCTCGCACGTTTAGTTTCGTAAGTGACTGATGTGACTTTTTGACCAGCATTACGCTTGGAACAGTTTCTAATCATGCAAAATGTGATACAACAGATGAGTGACACTGTTTTACAGTACGAAGCCAGTAGTATAGTTGAAGGTTTGTAGAATGTAGCAAGGGCCTTATGCTGCCAAAAGCCTATGTATCAATTATTCATGCTATACAGCACCCAGGAAAGAGCACAATTTTATTTTCTTTAAGTGTTACTGTTTTTATACTTTGTAAATAAACCAATTATATGCTCAAAATGTTATCGTGCAGTCAGTGAGACTGATGTCACCATGTTGGCAATAGCGGTAATTGAAATAAAACGGAATAAGGTAACTCAGGATATCTGTGATGTCTTGTAGTTCCCATCTTGATTTCTGATGCAATAAAATGTTGTCCCCGTAACAACATGCACGGTGTCTTAATTGACTAATTTCCACTCTGCACATGCAAGTGTGTGTTTTATTAACGCACTGTAAACCACTCAAGGCCTAAAAACGAAGGTTATTACTAAAACAGTCAATGCCAACATCAATCTTTCTATTCATATTGATAAATTAAAATCTAAACCACGATAATTGTGACAACACAACTTGTTAGCGCGCAGTGTCTGAGCCATTTCCATAAAAAGTGAACGGATTTTGTAAGAACCATCTTAAATGTGAGCCTTTAATCATCTGTAATGTATTTGTATACTGATAAGTTCGAATCTACAACCAGTTTCATCGTATTAAAACACTTTCCGGGCAGTGTTTTGGGTTTGATGACAGGCTGCGCTCTCTTTTGGGATTGGCACAACAGCATCATCTGTAGCCCAGAGCTAAATATTTGGGTTCAGGTTTGAATGTGTCGCCTAACTGAATATTTAATACGGTGAACAGGAGCTCTTAAACGACGCTAAACGCGCGCGCCTGCTGTCGCTGCGCAAGTGTTTACAGGGTCGCGACACTGTTACGCATGGCGTCGTCCAATGGCCTTTAAGAAGGTGACTCTGTAGCCGCTTTCTCTTTCTTTACACTTTGATTACCGAGCGAAACACAGCACAAGATCAAGCACTCGAACCGGAACGGCGCAAAAGAAACGTGGCAGCGGACGACATTTTAGTTCTACGTTTCCCTACACGGGGCGGCTCGATAGTTGCATCGTGCATCTTATCTGATGTAAAAGATTGTTGCGTAAAATACGTCTTCCTCGGAAAAAATGAAGGCGCTTATCTACGTCTCGGGCCGCGCTCGTGAACCGTTTTTTACGAAAAGCGACCAATAAAATTTTACCTTACTAAGCTAGTCGTGGTGCTGTGAGCGATGATCACGGAGTTCGATGTTGGCGCGCTGTAGCTTGGCCGCGGTCCACCAAATTGATAGTTTCGGGCGGTCCCGCCGCCAGTGTTTGTTCCTCGGTTAGACGCTCTTTGTCCACGTCCAACGTAGTTATGGAGAAGATCGACGACGTACGAGTCGCGGAGCTCAAGAATTCCGCGTACATCAAACCTACGCGGCTGCTTTTCAAGCAGGTGAGCCGATCTCGAATCGCCAGCTGATCTCGGCGAAGCATGTGACCACCTCCGCGATCCTTTCCTGACTGATTGACTTGTTGTCCTTCGGTGTTCCTTGAATCCGCAGAACGGAAAGCAAAGGATATGGGACCTCATGAAGACCCACGACAGGTTCGTGCCAATGTCTGTTTCATTAGTGCCCATCACGTGTTAATAGCGTGATCTCAGTGTGTGTGTCTAGTGGCGTGGTTTATACTTGACTACCGCGCGTGTTCTAAACCAGAACGTAATTGTTTTGCTTCGCAGTGTCTCGGCCGTTATTTACAACAAAAGCAGGGATGTCCTCTTATTCGTCAGGCAGTTCCGACCAGGTGAGTGTCGTGATCGTAAACTGCGTGTTACGACATGTTTATTTTCCGGAATCGGTCGCCCATTTTCCTTGTAGGAAGTTTGAGGTTCTAGCTGCTCGCACTAGCGTTTATTGCGTGACGAAAGCTTGGGGAAGGCAAAACTGGTGCTATTTAGATTATTTCTGGCGACTCGGAAAACTATGGTAACCATTGTAATGTCGTCTGCTACTGATCGAGAATGTACAAGTGGGATCGGTTGTGCGTATATTTTAAAACATGCAGCGTCTATGCGAGGAAATATCACTCAAAGTGATAGAAAAATGACAGTACAAAAAATAATAGGTTTCAACTGAGAAGAAACTGTAGCATAACGGGTATTTTGGGCAAATTATTAAATGAAATATGCTAGCTTTATCTTGCACATAGTTCTTGATAGTGCCTAATTGAGTAAATTATTACAAAGCAGGATCACTTTTTACTTCGTTTTTTGTTTGTTTGTTCATAGCCGTAGCCTGGGTGCCTTTTGTAACACCTTATGAAGTATAATTTATTTGGCAGCATTCATAAAGGTTCAGTTGTCAGCATGAAATAGGCTTGATGGGGCCAGTAGGCACTGAAAAGTAATGTTCGCATTGTCAAGTGACAGCATGAGTGCATAACTACATACGTGTAGCCTCAAAACACACCTTCATAGTTCATTTCGACGAAAAGAGCAAAAATAACAATGCGTAATCTGTTAAGCAAATGGCAAACTGTAGCAGATCATTCGGTTAGGGTTCTGCCATGTGGTTACATAGCATGCATTTCACAGTGAATTGCTCTCGCGAATGAGTGATTCTTGTACTTCTTTCAGCTGTCTACTACGGTCAGATCCCACCTCACGAATTCTCTTCGGGCAAGCCCATCGACACGAACAAGTATCCAGGAAAGTTGGGCGTGACGCTCGAACTGTGTGCGGGCATCATCGACAACGACAAACTGTCCTCCGCCGAGACAATGCGCGAAGAGATCAAGGAGGAGTGCGGATACGATGTGCCCTTGAGCAGCGTACAGCGGGTCACCTCATTCAGGTAACCATTGCTCCTGCCACTCCTAGTACTGTTCAACCAAATCGGCGGGTACCAGTGTGAATCTTAAAGAGACGCAAAAGAGCAAAACGATTTTCTGAAAAATTAGTAAAGTACAATTTCACAATCTCGAAAAAAAAACTCTTACCACGACACGATGCTTGGTAAGTGAGAAAACGAGTGAAAAGAAAATGCGAGTGGAGACGCCACCTCCAAATTCCCACATCATGATGTCATAATTTTTGAACAAGTCTGCTGGGTTGTATGTAGCTTCTAATCAATAAAATTGTAGTACATTCTCATCTGTGGGTGCCATAAAGCTAACATGCGAAGTTTCAGAAAATTTCACCGAGCCAATGTCGTGAAAATACAAAAACTATTTGTCGAAATTTCTTACGTCACGCACATAGGTTTTGGTGAAAAAATTCAGAAATGAAACTTTAACCCCAATTTTGATTTAACTGTAACACGAATTTTAACCCCAAGTAGTGAGGCCATCCGACAATTACTTGCAAAGGTTTCAAGGGGCCCCTTCAAATCCTCTGTAATCAATTGTACGCACAAAGTAAGCGCCACAGCTTTGATGCCCGGGTAACACGCATCATAGAACTGTGTTATCCTCGCCTCCTTCCCCCCCCCCCCCCTCAACTGTTCAGCTTCCAGCAAGCTTACCAGGTTGATTGGCAGATCGTGGGAGAGGCCTTTGTCCTGCAGCAGCGTAGTCAGGCTGATGATGATGGTGATGATGATAATGATGAAGCTCATCGTTGTAATCCCTGAATGAGCACTGGTGCTCATACTTCAGGGATTAAAAAAACAAGAGACCCCGATTATGAGGTCTCTTGATGATAACTTGAAATGATTCTGCAGGGCTCCTTGTGACATTCATGCAGCACTTCAGATCTAAGAAATACTCTTAAGGCGTTAATGCCAGGATGTTAGTGCATGTTTCTTGAATCATTTTGTAATCAACTCTGCTACTTCTGGCACTGGCTTTCGGGGCTTGATGAAAAAGAGGGAGCTGAGGTGAGAAAATAAATAAAAAGCTGCACTGCTTTCTTGACCAATCCTTCCTGGGGAAGGGACTGAACCGGTCTCGAAACATTGGGTCCTTTTCTGAAACTGAGGATGGAGCCATTTGTATTTCGAGAAATATTTTGTTCCTTTCTTCTAGGTTTTCTCTAGGTTTCTAAGAAAGTTTGTAATCTAAGAAAAATTATCAGCGCTCACTTGCGCAGTGCTTTCAAATGCATTATCAAATAATCAATGACTACATCGCAGACAACACAAACACAACCTCCGGACATCCTCAGTATGCCCCCGTAAGGACAATCCGATGCCCTCAGAATGTCCTCTTATGGTACTAGAAAAGCAGTAATCCCGTCCCCTTGTCCGTACACATAACAACCTCAGCACATCCTCAAAACAACAATTCAGGACTTTTTCAGTATCTTTTCAGAACAACGATAGCGTGGCCGGTTCGGTACTGTGGGCAGTGATACTACTTAGGATTTACTTCTTTTCATGACATTTTAATACATCAAAAGAAAAACACCGGCGAGGTCTCGAGTATATATACTGTATCAATCAACAGGGAGGTGACAGTGCTGGACTTTTAGAGTAAAACAAACAAAGCTTATAGACTGAAATTTATTTATTTAACAGTAATTAATCACAATAGACAGCTTTGTCAGGCATTTGGGTCCGCGTATATTCTGAAAAAAGAAAAGCAGTATCAAGGCAGTCAGCACAGCTCAATCAACTATGCTTGTAATCTTCTTCGAAAGTTTGACACAGTGTCCTCACCACCACGTGTATCGCACCCAATGCACTCACTAGTGCTAAAGGCTCCGCATGACAGCCTATCAGTACACTCGACACGGGCGTTGACTTGACTTGCCCGAGGTCGGGCCATGTGTCAGATGCAAAAGTCGATCCTTTCACATTGGGACTAGACTGCTTCGAAGCCCAATTGACCGTGATTGGCTGTTATAGGCTGCTTCGAACCACACCTCGCCGCGGTCGGCTGGTGACAATGCATCCATGATCAGTCGGAATGTGAGCAGGCCAGTGCACCCATCAACACTGCAATTTACCTACCGTCATCACCTACGACTTACACTCTCACACATATCTCACTTCTAACCATGCTCACAAACAACAAAGGACACGAACTTTCACTAGTTCACTGCACTTTCCCCACTCCGTGACTTTCTCTGACAAGACCGCCGCTGCCATTTTGACAGTCAGTTGGCTTGGCTACTTGACTATCTAGAATGGTGCCGCATAGTCAATGGTTGCCAGCTGCTAGTTTGTTACTACGCGCTACAGCGACGTATAATGACAAATTTAGGGCTGTGACATTTAAGAACACACTGTTTCAAATGGACATTTCGCAATACCAGGTTCGATACCTAAATCAATTGATTACGCGTGTGTCTCATTAAGCGCGTCGCATAATTTGAAAATTTTCTGCAAAAAAAAAAAAAACCGACGCGGAAATATACAATAACTTTATGACTGTAAGAAACAAACGTGTGGAGAAAGTTTTTACGTATGAAATGCATCTACTTGGTGCGCAAAAGTCTTCAGGAATTATATCTAAGTGCTCAGTGCAATGCTTTTGTCATCCCCAAAAGATCCTTAACAGGACCTTTTCCGGACCAATTGTTGTCCTCAGCAAGCACTCGAAAAGACGTTTCCGGGGCAAACCAGCTTGTGTCGTCCTCAGTATGTACTAAGGTCAATAAGAATTGTGCGAGGACGATTGTACCATATTGTACCATATCGAGTGTTGTCTGGGATGTATAACTGAAGTTTGATAATCTTTGAAATAATTTATACTATCAAGGAATATGCACATACTTACTGTAACTTGATATGAATGTCAACAGTAGTTCGATCGTGTGAACAATTTTAAATGTATCGTATCCTCTTTCAGAGCTTGGTTAACTGAAGCAGCTGACATGCTAATGTTTATAAACGTACGTGACTGCCTTTTGGGGCTTCAGCTTTATTCGTGGCCTTTTACTTGTTTGTCCAGAGCTGGTGTGGGAATCCTTGGTGCCAAGCAGGAGCTGTTTTACGTCGAAGTGACCGATGACATGAAGATCAGCTCTGGTGGCGGTGTCGAAGAACAAGGCGAGATGATTGACGTGGTCGAGCTAACCAAAGCCGAAGCCAAGAAGATGTTGTTTGACGAGAGCATCATGCGGCCCGCTGCTCTGCTTTTCGGAATCACGTGGTTCTTAGAGGTCAAGTCGAAGCAGTAGAAAGGACTTTTAATTGTACATAAGTGAGCTCACTAGGATCTACATCTTTATAAGTTGCACGTGTTATATGGAATTTTGACCTGATGCATTCATTAGGAATGCATGTGATCGGGTTGAAGAGGTAAGCTTAAGAAATCCACCACATTCTGGCCTCTTTCAGGCGGTTGGTTTCTTCTTAAACGCCCTTAAATTAATGTTGTGACATTTTTTGCTGCAGTCATAAGCATTATATTGGCGTTATACTATGGTGACTCATTTGTGACTCGTCATTTAAGCCAAGCAGAGCCTAACCACTAGAAGCAACGTAGTGATCAAAATCTTTCTTATATGAACGTCTTTATGCAAACTTTTTGACATATCTTGCCGAAGCTTGGGCCCAACATGCTGTCATTACATGATCTGCATCAGTATTCCATGCCATACGTGATATAGAGTAAAAGAGCATAATAAAAAGTATCGTATGAATGCTGAGTTTCTTTCTCAATTCGGATCAGTACTGGATGAACGAAACGAGGTTGGCACGTGCCATTTCAGCATTCAAGAGTGCAAGTGTTCATTAGTGAAGAAAAGGCCATTTGGTTTGTACTCGTGGACGGTGACATGTAAGTATTTTGAATGCAGAGACTCGCATGGATCTTCTGTGTGTAATGCGCGTGTACTTCTCAAATTATAACACCTAGTGCACAAAAGATATTGGGCACTATACAGCAGTACGACAAAAACACCTAACTGCCCCTTGTCCTCTCTTCCTTTTTGTTTATTCGTGCGCTTGAACTGACAGTTATACCATGCATATCCAACTAGCCCAACTTTCGATTCTGTAGCCCCTTGTTCGTTCATATAGAACCTAACAGCCCCTTGTTCGTTCATATGGAGTACCAGCATGCCCAGCCTCATATTCTTTCAAATTCACTTGTTACAAAACCTTTTTTTGTCATTAGGTCCATGAGATGGTTATGCAGCTGCGGCTGCTTCATTGTCTGTACGGCAATTTAATTGACACTGCGACCGTGGGTGTGCCACGTTTGAAGTGTACTTTATATTCCTTTGGTACTGGTAAAAATCAGAACCCGCGTCGCGGCCATTACAAGCACGTGATGTACGTGGACGAGGAGCCCGGTTGCAGTACATTCAACATTACGAGGCACTCGAGCGCGTCGATACCCAGTTTTTATCCATAATGCTCTAACTTTGACCAAACAAAGCAAACCATTAACGTTGTCATTCATTTAGAGATTCCAGAAACCGTATGCTACATTCGCATAAACAAAAATGAAACTGAAACTTTAAAAAGTTATATGTATAATAATAACTAGAAAAAAAGAAGTTTATGACGCTCCTTCTTATACGTGGAAATTTTTTTATTTAGTTTCATGTTTGCGATTTTATAAAACTCTTTGATATAGCTACCTTTTGATCAGAGAATTAGAAACGTTTGCGCGTCAAGAATAGTCAATCCAATCCAAGTTGTGTTTATTGCGGTTTTGTGCTTTCGCTTTTGGTGAGCGCTTTTGGCACACAAATATTGTTCGGGTTCGCCGTGTTTTCGTTCTGCTTGATCTACTAGCGACGTGACAGCATGTGAGGCGTAACAGCTGTCAGCCGACGACCGTACGGCTGATTAATCCGCTTTCGAGCGCGAGCACAGTATTCAGGTGTTCAGCCCGAGGCTCGCCAGGTAAGCGATTACGTCCGTGACACCGTTCTGTTTTCGTGTCGCTGTTCTGAACGACAACAGTCGATGAAGCGAAAGGAGTGTTCTCGTTGCGCGATGTGGTCGAAATAGCTACAAAGTTCAATATCTCTTCGTCTAATGTGATTAACGTTTCGTAGATAAGGATACGGAAGGCAAGCCGCACTTAATAAGGCTCTTGACAGCTGTGCCGCGTGTAGTATATAAATACTCTTCCGTTGATCGTGGCGAGATAAGTGCTGTCAATGACTCTGCTTGAACCATTAATAGTAGTGTTTTGATGCTGCACATGACTTTCTTTCGTACTCTTTTGCCCTTCTTTTTCAGGAAATGGCCGCCGTGCCGGAGAAGGCGAATCGCAAGGAGCTGTGCGAGATCATCTGCACGCAAAAAGAAAAACTCCAGCGTTATGAGGGCCGGCTCAAAGGTATAACTGTCTCTCATGTCTAACTGTAGGATATGTGCGCAAAGATCGAACGAAAGCAGCAAAAAACAAGTGGACAGAAATTTGCCCTGTGTATTCGGGCAGGCGTTTTCCCTGTGTTTCGTCTGATCTGCGCGCGCATATTACCTGCAATTACACATGCACAAACTGTTTTAGCAAAACTGTTTCTTGGCCTAGTTGGTACTTGCCTAATGACATATTTTAGCCGCCAAGTAACACGTACGCAGAGCGAAGAAACGCACAAAAACGCCGCCCGTATTGTCATTGTGTGTTTCTTATTGTGCTCTGTGTATGTGGTATTTCGTGGCTAAGATATGTCATTATGCACCAACTCGGCCAGCAAGACGTTCTTTTAAGAAGTCATGTCAGGCACGTGTATCCAGGCATTTTTTTTTTTCACGGAGGGGAGGGAAGCACTTGTTGAAGAAATTGTAAAGCACCTATTTTCATTATTTTTCCTTGGTAAAACACCCCTTCTCCATCGGAAGTTAAGAGGGGGGGGCTAGAGCCCTTCTTCTGCAGGCTATGGGCATATGTCTCATACGCTACTTTTAACAATGGCTTACGGGGTGTTTATTGCTACTGTGTAGTAAATATTTCCTTACAAGATGCGGGGTTTTGAAACTGTGTCAACTCCATGTCTGTTTGCCGACGGGGAGTCGCAGGTCACTGCAATTCAAAATCTCGTTTTTTTGAGCGCAGTAGATACACACAGTGCTCAGGTTCTGCAAAACAAGTTGGATGTACTGTTTGAAGCTAGTGTAGTCAACTCTTCTCAAATGAAAGTCGCCTGTTTTTTTAACTAGTTAAAATTCACCTGGGACCATTTCAAACCTGTAGAAAATTTTTCACGTGATGTCAAGGAACTGCTGGCATATTCTTAAGTGGTTGACCATGGCAAGGCTGCCACCTGCCGGTGTTCGTCGCTTAATTGTTCGTGTAAGCTGGCAACAAGCTTTCAAGAGTGAGAGCAATGGTTGATTGGAACTGCCTTTCCAAGCAGATCGTTTGCTTCGGTTCTAGTAAGACAGAGTAAGAACACCTCAGAGCTTGTGCAGACAAATGGCCGTTCGGTAGTGCAGTAAAAGTGCAACCTGGCCCATTGCCTCAAAAGTACAGTCACAAGATAAGGTATTTCAGGGCTGTTGTCTCCAGCAGACGAAGTAGTAGTTCAAATGTGCTGAGTCACAAATGGCAGAAAGCAAGTCATTTGTCTGCTGAAAAAAAGCCTTTCATTGCTTACAGTACTAATGTTGTTTACAGCATCCTCTTATCGTGTAGCAGATGTTATGTTTGCTTAAATAAGTGGCCCAATGTTTCATTGTGCCACTTAGTAGACCGCTGTAAGTGATGTCACTCCATGGCCCTGTATTTGACTGCACACATGTTTTGGAAAAGAACAAAAAGAAAAAAATATATATATAAATTGATTCTTGAGGCTTACAGCTTCACAAAAGAATTTATTGGTGTGGCCTCTACCTTGTTGACAATGAAAGATTATGACTATGTATGTGAAATTCTGAGGTAACACAGTTTTGTTTATGTAGCTTCACACGTGCACTGAGACACTATTTTGCCTGCCTCCACATGACACAGGTATGTCCTTTATGGGAGTAAAATCAGTTGATAATTAGAGCCCTTCCTGTTCTGTTGTTTATTAACTTTTAAATTTCTTCCTGCTTTCTTGTAAGCACTGTAAACAAATGAAGGCTACGAGACAAATTTGCAGTTAAGGAAGACTAAATGTCTGGCCTATAATATTTAAATTGGAATAGTTCTCTTCTCAATAAATTCATAATGACACCAAGTACATTCAAACAGAGAAAGAAAAAAGTTTTTCTACTCAATGCAAGACAAACCTAGGAGGAATCGATAACATTAAACCATTGGTACTAGCTAGAGGCCACTGCAATTCCCTTGCTTATTAACTCTGCATCGCCGACACCACCCAGTGGGGATTCAAAGAAAATAAGAAGAATAAGAGAGGAGGACCAACACTTCATTGTCTGCCTCAGTGCCACCATTGACGAGCTGATGCCTGGCAGCATTCGTGGTTAGAATCTTGAGTGCTAGCATTTAGAGTTCTATGAAGCATACGACCTTGATTGAAGCTTGTTGGTGCATGATTCATTTAAATATCAACAGCACAAAATTGACAAACAAACAAATAGTGCATAAGACAAGGTGGACACAGACTGCATTTATTCATAGCAACAATTCACCTGCGTGCATGGACAATTTGCACAATTCGCGGCAGTGCATTGCTTGTACTTTGACTTTACATGTCCTGGTCACAAGTTTGCCCAATGAAGTGCTTCATGTTTACTGGCTGCATTTGCGTTCTTCATCATCTCACCCACATCAAAATATTAATATTTATAATTCGGCTAAGATCTTGGAAATTTGTGCTCATCTTGTATGTGCTGTTTGTCTATGTCCATTTTACGCCATTGATTACCTGCACCATGTGGTAATCTTTAAATTTTGTCACCTGCATAAGCAATCATAAATGTAATCACAAATATTCATTGTGCCCTTGTCGTTACGCTTCTTCCACTCAATAGGCAGTGCATTCTGCACTGGGGTTTTGGTTCTTACACAGCTATGAACTATGTTGAAAGCTTCAGTGCAAAGTAGCTCTAATAATGCAGGTCCACATTTGTTTCAGACCTTGTGCGTGCATACAAAAGTCTGCAGAAGGAAAAAGATGCCCTCGAAGTAAGCCTGAAAGCCCTGACATCGTCAAAAGCCAGCGAAAAAGCTCGCGCAAGTTCGTCGAATGAGTCCCTGGCTGAAAAGAAAAGTGAGAAACCATCGGAACCTACTCAATCTTCAACAGTGAGTAATCAGAGCCATCACCGTAAGCAGTTAGTTGGTTTTCTCGTGACAACATGTATTAATAGATGTTTCCTTGAAGGCAGCTTTTGCACTATTGTAAATGAGCACGTTGAGTTAATTGCTGATGTTCTTGTAAGCAATATACATTTCTTATCCAAGTATATATTAGCACTTCTATTACGTCATGCTAGTAGGAAATTAACTATGTAAAATTAATTTGCTAGTCCAGGGGTCGGCAATCTGCAACCTGCGAGCCATTCGCGGCTCGCGTGACAGTTTTATGCGGCCTCCAGCATAGAGTAAAAACCCCTGCCCCCTTTCTCTTGCCACTTGCTACACGAGGTCGACAGGGATGTCGTGACAGAAAACGAGATTTTCGCTTATAACTTATGCATGATTTCAACGTTGTGGTATGCATGCTGATTAATAAAGAAGATTTCTAATCCAGCTTTATAAATTATTGTCAACTTGCCGAATTTTTATGCTTTGCCTGGAAAGACCCCTCCTCAACTCGCTTGTGCGGCCCTCCGCTGTCTTGTCTTCATGCGACTTGGCCCTCCACCTCTAAAGGTTGCCAACTGCTGCTCTAGTTCATTCTTGATGTACCAACTTAACTGTCAATCTATGAACTAGGATGTATTTTTTTTCATCCATGAAGCTTTCTTTAAAAAAAACAGTACGTGTTCATTTGTAGCTTTAGGCTTGAGATGGGGCCCCGCCGCGGTGGTCTAGGGGCTAAGGTACTCGGCTGCTGACCCGCAGGTCGCGGGTTCGAATCCCGGCTGCGGCGGCTGCATTTCCGATGGAGGCGGAAATGTTGTAGGCCCGTGTGCTCAGATTTGGGTGCACGTTAAAGAACCCCAGGTGGTCGAAATTTCCGGAGCCCTCCACTACGGCGTCTCTCATAATCGAATGGTGGTTTTGGGACGTTCAGCCCCACATATCAATCAATTAATCAGGCTTGAGATGGGTTGAAAAGAATTTTTTTTTCAATGTTATAAGTTAATGAGACTGAATGTGGGATTTCTTGTGAACATTCAGTAATCGTATCATGTTTGCTGCTGCATCCTGGCTGCATACCCTGAAAGAACCTAGTAATGGGAACTAGTGCAGACAGAGTAGCCACACAAGCTAGGCTTCATGATTAACCTTCTTGTCTTTATCAAGTCTTTTCTTCATTTGTGTAATTCTGCTTACTTGCCGAAAAATTCAGTTGTTCTTGCCATGTCTGGATTTATATCTGGTTCAAAATGTCTAATGGGCACTATAGTTCTTTGATAGACAGGCTGACTCTAAGAAAGATAAATTTCAGCACATCTCACTGTTGTCCTTGCAGGATGACTGTCAAAATAATGCGAACAGCCCTGGTGATCCTGCGCCGAGTGGCGACCCCGAGGACCACGTGGCTGCACTCTCTCAAGCACTGTCTACCCTTACGGAAGAGAAGGCTCGCATGGAAGCTGCCTTCCAGGCCGACCGTAAGCGACTCATCCAGGAGAAGGAGGCCGCACTGCGTCAGGTCGAGGAAGTTCAGAGAAATGCCGGGGAGCAGGCCACTTCGCTGGAAGCCAAGGCAACCGAGGTGAGACAAGGAGGACTATTGGAAAGTTTTCTCATGAACATGAGAGGTGCACTAAAGGCAAACATTGAGATAGTATGTAATGTTAAAATAGCTTTTTGTAAACACTGCAGTGCTTGTTTTTTGCTTGATTTAAGTAAAGTTCACGTTCAGTCATCATTATTATTAGCCTGTTTAGGTTCACTTCCGAACAAAGGTCTCTCCTATGTCATATAATTTTATTCCATCTCTGCGAGCTTAATTTTGTCACTCCATCTGCCTCTCTGTTTTCTTCGACTCCATTTCCTATCTCTTATTAACCTTTCTTTCACTCATAGTTCGGCGAATTGACTAATGAGCCGACTCGCTCAGGCTGACAGAGCCGTGAGTCTGAGTTCGGATGAGTAATATGTTAGTGAGCTCGAGTCTAAGAGAGTCCGGTTGAAGAAACTTTTCGCGAGTGTGTATCCGAGTCAGTTCAGCTCAGAAAAATTTTGGCCAGTCTGAGTCCGATGGGATCCAAAGCGCAAGGTATACTTCTTGAGTGAGCCTGAGTGAGTTTCACTCCTTTGTTGCCGACGTGTGGTCGTATCTACTAATCTTTAGCATTACAATCAGCCTTACATGGGTTCATGTTTATAATAATTTTTACTCACGTGTATTCCAAAGCAGTTTTTTTTTTTACACCATTTCAATATTTATTGATCAGAGACGCGAATTACGCTGGAGAGGGCTTTGAACCCCGCCGCCAACTCTTCCCAAGGAAATTCTTGACTATATCTTATGTCGTCATCTATTTCAAGAAAAACGGCCTTGCTGGTTTGCAACCACTCATAACTGGCATTCGAAGGTGCTATAACAAAAGGCACCAAGAAGAGTACCGATGGCATGAGATATTGGTGGGAAAGAGCTTTGACATCATGGTCGACAAAGATGATTCTGCGCTGACATACTCGTGAATCTACTCACTTAAACTCGGATCGAGCTGCGAGTCTGAGTGAGTTTAGGTGAGTAATGTTTTGGTGAGTGTGAGTCCTAGTGAGTAACTGCTTAGAAAAAATTTGGCGAGTCTGAGTCGGAGTGAGTCTTAAGTGCAAAATATATTTTATGATTCACTCTGAGGGAGCTCCACAAGTTTTGCCGGCCTGTGCTCTTGGTGTCCACCAGTTGTGTGTCCTACACATTGTGTAGCCAGCCCAGGCCTGTTTACTTTTGCTTGATGTCAACTTGGATATCCACTACGCCTCTTCATTCCCCGATCCATTCTGCCATCCCCCGATCTCTTAATGTTACTCGTATCATTTTTGGTCCACATACGCCAGCGCAATATACATTGCCCGCCCCTGAGTGAGGAGGCGCGATGCTGCGTAAGCCATTACTATTCGATACCGTATTGTAGGCAGAGGGAGGTTTTCTCTCCGAAAATGCAAAATTGCTGTCAGAAGGCAAGTTTTTTGTATTATTTGCAGTTATGGTATTATGATCACAACTTGTGTTGTGATCAAGCGAAGCCCACCAAATAAATCAACAGTTTGTTCGTAACGTTCCATCTGAACACCCTTAATATGCTGCCCCTGTGCTGTTGCAGCTGCGAACAAAGTTGCGCGAGGAGCAGATGGCTCGTGAGCAGGAGCAAAGTGACCATGCAGCCATGCTGAGGGAACTGCAGCGCCTGCTTTCTGAAGAACGGACCCTTCGCGAGAACTTGGAGGACAAGCTGGAGGAAGCGATGAGGAAAGCGGCTCAGGTGAGGAAAACAGACTCCGTCTCCGACATCAACAATGGATGTTTGGCTATATTGTCAGGGCTTTAAAGGCAGAAGGTGTTCCCAGAGACCTCCACAGACTTTTATGGGGCCACCTTTAGAGATAAGTGCTCGTACAAAACTGAGCAGCAAGTCAATGTATTCCTTTGCCTATTTGAACTAAGAACTGAACTTGGTATCTTCCGCTTTGGGAGTGGATGTCCTACTGCCTTATTGATGCTGTAATGTTTAAAGTCACTTTTGTTGAACTTTTTTTTATGCTGCCTATAAGTATCTTATAAAGTTTCAAGCTTGATGACCTTCATTCAATGCAAAATACCAAAGTCAAAAGGTCACATCACTGCTTCTTCACAACAGAACAGGTTTGGCCTCGACATGTCAGCATAAGACAACTTATCGCTGGGCGAATTGGTGTACGTTTATGTTAAAACTATTATAGGCACAAAAAATAAGTTTGTGCGAATATTATAATGACTATTACACTATTCGAATTCACTTTGATTCGAATTTAAATTTTTGGAAATTTTGAAGTATTCGAAACGAACGAGAAGGTGTATACAAATCCGCATGTAATTTTTTTTTGTAAAACTGGTTTCACCGTAATGTAGGGGTGCTATACAGTGGAGGGGTACTAAAGATATTCAGGAAAAATACGCACTGCCGCGAAGCCCCACTTCTTTTAAGTTTCAGAGCTTGCAATACTCGCTTTTGCCCTCTCTGTATGGTAAATTTCGGAATATAGCGTACTTTACAGATTATCACTTGCCTTCTACAGAAAGTTAAGTCCTGCCACCATTTAAGATTGCCTTTGAACCGAAAAGAATTACATTTGCTCATGCCTTGTTTCAATATTAAGAAAATATTGTGCAGCTTAGTTGAGTCATGACTAATATGCTCATTTTTTTATATGTGATATATACCATTCTAATTCCCTTCTAAACCGCAATTTACTATTCGCACGATCCTAGCAAAAAAACACCCACACTACAAGAGGAGATGACGGGACGAAGTACCAAGTCCTGTCGTCTTCTCTTGTGATGTGTGTTCTTTACTCCCAGAGCATTTTGGACATGCCAACATAGCTGGAAATGGCCATCCGCAATAAACAGCATAGCCGTGTCCGTGTTCAGTGACTGAACATTGATGTAAAACCTTGCAGGCGGACTTGGCAAAAGAGTACGAGGCCAAAGTGGAGAAGCTGACACAGGAGCTGGAGGAAGTGCGCAAGCGGCTGCTTGCATCCGAGGAGAAGCTGCGACAGCCTTCCCCCCTGCTGCTCAAGCTACAGCAGGAGTTGGTGGAAGTCAAGGTAAACTGCTTGTTTGTTTGTTTTAGATACAACAGAAAATAAATTTGTCTGCTGTAGGCAGAAGTTCACTGGAAGATAGAAACTTGAACCTATGAAAAATTTTTGCACACGAGGTGTCACTGGAACCAATGTTTGGACAAGTGTACACGTCTTCTTCAAGGTCAGAACTTAGCGTTTCTATGTGTATGCTTCATACCCTCTCTCCCAACTGTTAGGTTAGGAAAGATGCTACGAAGAGGCCACGTGCTGAGGTAAACTTGCTGCTTTGAAGAAGACAAGTACGCGTATCGAAACATTGGCTTCAGTGACGCTTCAAGTGCACTTTTTCATGCCTTATCCACATTGGCAGTATGTCCCACTGAGTGTCTGAAATGTCTGCTTAGGAGACTCTAACTAAGCCCCATATTCACAGATGTGGCTTAACTAGAAGCTACGACTTCACTTGAACAGCTTATGTCACCAAACAGTTTTGTGCAATCGCCGAAAGGAATGCAATGAGTGTCTTGGCCATGTCTATGTCTGGTGTTACCTTATGTTGGCTTGACAAAGTTGAGTTATTGGAGATCAGTTCTGCGTATTCCTGCAAGGTGGTGGAAAGGTTTAGGAAAAAAATTGACCAAAGCTCGTTTGTGACACGAAGCCACAAGGAAATCCACTTCCTGTATTTACTTGTGGTTTTGTGCAACAAACAAGTGGTTGTCAATTTCCTTGTCATAACCCTTTTTGCCATCGTGTGAAATTCCGCAGGAATATATTCTTAATATTCTGTGTCCATGCGCTTCAAGTTGTCGGTCAGTTTGCCCTTACACAGCCAATTGCGAGCTTCCTGAAAAATGCTCTATTGTTAGAGCGACCAGCCCAAAGACATGATGGTTCTGAGTTCATTACCCGGACTGGGACAAGTTCTTTTGGCAACTACCGTATAAACCGGACTATAGGTCGAGTGGGAATATAGGTCGACCCCCCAAGTTCAGGTTATTGAAAAAGAAAAAAAAAGGAAAACAACCCAAAACTGCCGAACCACATTTATTTGCGAATTGGGCGCACCCCATCCCGATCGTCGGAACTCCCCTCTACCACCATCGCATTGTCGCACCAACTGTCGCACCATCGCATTGTCTTGCATTTGAAAATGACGAAGAGCGGAAGCTTTCTACCATCTGCCGTGCATGCCAGCATGACGGTGAAGCGCTAGTGCTCGTTGCCAGTGGACAGCAGCTTCACATCTTTGGCGCCGCGCTGCGTGATCGTGGTCGACGAAGGCATGTCAAACCACACGGGGGTCTCATCGGTTGTCAATCTGCCCCATCATGTAGTCGTTCTGCTCCCGAAGCCGGTTTACGAAGCGCTGAAAGTTTATGAGCTTGTCCTCGAACACCTCCGGCAACTTTTGACAGACGGATGTGCGCCTCCGGAGAGAAAATCCTTTGCCTCGCATAAATCGACGCACCCAAGAGTTCGGTGCACAAAACTCTTCTCTCGTGAGCCTAGCTTCCCGAGCGAGTTCCACGGCTTTCTTGCGAATGGTATTCACGGTCACTGGCAGTGAGCGCGCACGAACTTCCCGCACAAACTTCGCTAGCTTATCCTCTAGCTGCGGATGAACGGAACTTAGTCCATGAAACGACATTTTTCGAGGATTGCACATCTGCAGCTTCCCTTTCTGCGCCCTTCAATAGCGCACGCTTTTTTCTGATACACCAAAGCGGCGCTGAGCAGCCATATTCCCGTTTGCTTCTGTGAACTTAACAACATCTAGTTTAAACGCAGCTGAGTACTGCCTCCTCGTACCGCTAGACATATTCAGTGAACAAAAAAAAAAAGGCCACTAAAGATGCAGCGCAATGTCAAGCGGAGCGAAAACTCAGAACAGATCAGAAGCAAATCACGAACACAAAGAAAACAGACTGCGATTGGATTTGGATGCGGATATGGCCGCGTGTGGCTTCACAAGCACATGCAAGCCATATGTTGCCAGACGGCATTGCACTGTCGGCTAGACACCATTATATAAGACGAGGCGCGACTTTAGCTTATTATTTTATTGAAAAAATCTCGACTTATGTTCCGGTTTATACGGTAAGAAGCTTTTTTTTCTGTGAAATCTGTATGAATTTTCTTAGATTTCCTTGTGGATTTGTGCTACAAACAAGTGGTTGTCAGTTTTCCTTTCTTAACCAAGTCAAGTTGTGGCTTCAAGTCAAGTGCATCCCTGAACACTGAGGTACGCTTGTTGAATGGCCAGCTGGCTGCTAAATTTGAGAAGTTCATTACATGGGAAAATGAAGTTGGTCAAAAAATAATAAATGCACTGACACCACAATGCGTGACTCTTAATATATAAGGTGTCGATCATGCCATGTCATTGGTGCTTGCATCTGTGGTGTCAGTGTGTGCCCGTCTCATTGAGATGGGCAGTGAGACCACAGCTGTCTTATTGTCATGAGAAGCAATTGCTGATATGGCATGCTAAACTGCAATTTGTGCTGACTCGTTCATTTATTAGAGAGAACATCTCACCGCTCCTCCAACAGGCCCAACACCAGGCCGCACTGGAGCAGGAAAAGAAACAGGCGGGGCATGCCCAGGCGCGTCTGCATCAGCAGACAACGGGAAGCGAGGCACGGGTGGCCAGCCTGGAGAGCCGTCTGCAGGTGTGTCTCATCGCCAAATCACACACGGTAGACTCGATTGCTCAAACCTTAGAAGCTTGACTTATCAGAAGTTCTCATAAGTATGACTTGGGGGCTACTTGCCAACTTGTAATTTTTTTTTTCACAGTGCTGCAGAAGCATCAGAGACAGCTCTGCATGATTCATGATTGCCTGAAGAGTGTTCAGATGTCAACAATTATACTGGTACTGGAAATTACGCAACTCGGTCACGGTGTGTAAAGGGACAAAATGTGTTGTGTCCCATGATAGCTTGTAGCACCTTCTCATTCTTCAAATGCTTTTTTTCATGATACCAATGCACTGCAACGAAACTGACTGTAAGAAGCATTCGGCTCGCGACAGCCAAAGACCAGAGCATCTCGCTTTGTTTTTATTTATTTTTTTCTTCCTCAATCGGCATAGAACTATTGGTACTCGCAGTGTGGCTAGTTTAACGGGCAATCGGCTTTACTTGTGACAGTAAAAACATAAATGTTCAGCTTGAGGCAATGAAAGCTGCTGACACCTTTAGCAGGCACCAACAAGCAAAAAGTTTGAATTAACTGAATTTGTGCTATGAGCCACATAAAATTAAGTGACTTAAATTGAATGGAAAACTGGGGAGATGTAAGACTTAAAAATTTTTTTCAATGTTCATTTATTTTGATGAAACTTGCTGTATATACTTGTGGGCTGATTTCAAATGCTCAATTGTATTTTCTCTGTGATGAGTAGTTTCCAAAATATCACAAACTGCTACCTCTTTGTTTAAAAAGTAATTAGATAATCATCTGCAACATGCACAGCAATTTAAAACATGCAGAATGAATTAAAACATGCAGAATATGTTCGTAGTGTGTTGTTAAAGCATAAATCATTGCCTTAGGCCATTTCATAGCAAAGTTGTAAGCTGTTGAACCTGATTTGGAAAATTCCCTCATTGATACTTGAAGCCGAAAGCTCTAATTTAGAACATTTATTTTACAGAAAGTATTGTGACAAAATTCCTTTTATGACTCATCACATCTGTTTGTGATGTGATGAACAGAGACACGGACAGAGACGAAGAAGAGTAGTGGGGCAGAGGCTTGTTTGGGCTTCGACGGTTCGATTGTAGGCCATGTTGTGGACGGGACTATTCCGAGCATCAATAAAGGCTACAGAGTTATTTTTCCTACATGGGTAGGCATAATAATAAGAAACGGAACAGATCCAACGAGTAAGGAGGCACCAGGTGCCGGTGAGCGGGACTGCAGCGGACAAATGTTGGGGGTGCGTTTATTGCATCGGAGAAAAAAAGAAACAAATTTTTGACGACTGAAGTTTGGGGTGCATTTATTATGCGAGTGCGTTCATTACGTGAGTAAATACAGTATTCATATGGCAGCATGGCCTGAGCAATTTTGACTGAATTTGTAAACTCTTCTACATTTGTAGACTTTGATGCTGAAGAAAGCTCGTCTTCGTCAAAGAGATGTTAAGGGCCTGTCCTCTTATCAAAACGTTGGCTTCATCATCATTTGTTGCTCTAATGATTTCTCATCACTTATAGCTTCCCACTTTTTTTCAGTTCTTTGCCTGATTTGCTTATTGCCGCATCGCCCCTGGTCATTCATTAACAGGAGCTGTCCCAAGCAGTGGGCACGTACGACCGGCTACGCATGCAAGACCGTGCGGCCATCCAGCGTCTGCGAGAACGTCTCTCACAGCTCGCCCAAGAAAACGCGGCTTTAGCGAATGCGGCAGGCATTGGTGCCAAGGCTGCGGAACTGCCTTCCCAGGTAGGTGCACATTAAAATAAACTAAAGCCAAACCACAAATTAGTGTAGACTGACGAATTATGCTCTGAAAACTCTTAGTGTCATTAATGTCATGGCTATAGATTATTGAATCATCAGGAAATCAATCGTAGAATATTTACAGCGTAACGGGTTAGAGACGGACAAAGAAGGGACACAGCGCTTGCACGACTTGCCCAACTTGCGATTCTGATTCAGGGGAAATCAATGTCAAAAGTTTCACTTTTAAATTTGCTGTTGAAATCTCCGATTGGTAAAACTTGCTATGTCAGTTCTCTCGCTCCCTCATGTGGCAACTTTTATCATTTTCTAACTGGTTAAGAAATGCCTATGCACTAGTCCACGGCATCACAGTGTATGATACCAACGTGACTCGTGCAGGAACCTTAATGTGGTGTCACCACCTGCGTTTTCTTTTTGCACAATTTTCTCGCTTACCAAGCGCCCTCTTGCAGCAAGTGGGGTGTTTGTTTCATGAAAGAGTGGTTGACTAATATATGAGAAAAATTTCTTCCCTCTGTAGTGTCATAATAAGCATAGGGTTTATAGTGACTTGCCTTTTTTATACCAACAACCGAGCATGTCTTTGCTGCCTAAGATAGCCCAAGGACCTGCTGTGATATAACTGAAGTAACAATTGATGGAATAGCCTAAAGCATCCCTGTATTTACCTAAAAGCAAGCTCGTATTTGACTGCTGACTGCAAACCGGTCTGACTTGCTTCCTGCTTTGTGGCAGTATTGTATTGCTTGCTGCTTTATTATAGTAAATGTGAGCCATCATGCTAGCTTAGTGGCTTAAGTTACTGTGATGCTGAACCCAGAGGTGTGAGTTATTTAGAGGGCACGTGTGCGCCAATTGCTTATGTAACTCCAGCAGAGTCGCTTATTGGGAACGGGGGCACGTCTGCTGGGTACTTGGAGCATGCAACCTTATTTCATTGCCCTCGGGCTTCAGCCTGCCTACTTGGCCAACTATGCTCTAATCCTTTCACCACGGTTCGAATCGTATCACATTTTCCTCGAGTTCAAAACGGAAAAAAAAAAACATCATCCATGCACTTAGATGCAGGTGTACGCGAAGGAATCCCAGGTGGCTAAAGTTAGTCTGGAGATGCCCACAACTGTTTGTCTTGTTGTAATATCATAGTTTTGGCTCATAAAACTGTATATTATTTTTAAAGGTGTGGTGTCTTGCTTACATTGTAGTTTTCAGCAGTGGCGAAACGGTGCCTTGAAAGCACCATTTCACCTTGTTTTGTGCCCTTGCCTTCACATTATGAACCAGGACAGCAACCTGGACATGAAGACCCTGTTGGACCGATTTGGCAAGATGCGCCTGCTGCTGAAGGAGTCGAATCAGCGTGCCGAGAAGCCCGTTGACCTGATTGGTGAGGCTTTTCATTTCATCATCATCGTCAGCCTGACTACGCCCACAGTAGGGCAAAAACCTCTCCTGTGATCCACCAATCAGCTCCTTTCTGTGCTTGCTGCTGCCATACTATATCATCAAAATTTCTATTCTCATCTGCCCATCTAACTAATTTTGTGTCTCCCCATTGTGATTTTGCCTTTGTAATCCAGTAATCTTGTCATCCAAATTAAAGTGAGCGAGCGAAGTGAAGGAAAATGATAGATGTAATCTTACGAGACAGGAAGACAGCAGAGTGGGTTAGGGAAGAAACGGGGCTGAAAAACGTTATAGTCGTAATCAAGAAAAATCGACACAGGCAGGGCATAAAACGCATAGGCAGGATAACCGCTAGTCATTAAGGATGACTAACTGGATTCTCAGAGAAGGCTTTTCTTTTAGTGCGCAGTAAATGCACGATGCATGAACAAAGCTTAAAAGACAACATGGCACAGCGTTGGCCCCAAGCCCGCGCATCCCATGTCGCATGTGTCATATTCTACTATTCTACCACCAAGCTTACCAGTAGCCACTGCAGTAGTTGTGTGGTAGAGCACATGTAATACGAAAAAATTTACCGTGCTTTCTTTTGTATAACCTGCACGAAAATGCAAGAAATATGAACCAGGTGTCTGCCTGTGGCTTATACAAAAATTTCGCTGTACAATATTGTGTTAAGGTAATGCTTTATGTCATTGCATTGAAGCTGGCTTTATGTCACTGCAAGGAACATTTTGTCACTGTGAACATTTTGCTAGGAACATTCTCTTACCAATGTTACTCTTTTATCCTCACCTACTGCAATCACAACCCGGCAAGGAACATGGTTGTGATAGTGATGGCCAAAACTTGTAGTAGGTGAGGACAGGACAGTAACATTGGTGACAGAAACCTAGTGAAAATACCTAAAATTTTTGTAACCTTCAACCATAGCTAGTGGAGTGATTTTTATCAAGGTGTAAAACTAGTTTACGCTGCTAAAATGTGTGGACAATGCGCATTCAAAAAAAATTCTTTAATGCAAGTTATTTGGGGTGCAGGTTATAAGCTAAAGAATAAAGTAGATCCAGCTTTCGCACTTGGCAAGTTGCCTTTCGCTTAGTGGTATGTCTAAACTTCCAAGTTTTTTTGTTGTTTCAACTTACAATACATGGCTGGAATTGCGTGACTGAAGTATTTTGATTAATTCGCTATGCTGTTTATTCACTTACCCCGCCAAGGTTGGTGGTTCAGTCTAATTTACTGTTCAATTAAAACAGCATGTAATCAATGCATGAACAAATACAGCGGGCACATACAGTGCTTGCATGTCTACTGTATAAATTGTCACGCATGCTTCTTTTGCAGTTTCTATGTAACTGCTCCATTTGACGCGTAGCTATTGCCTTGTGCAAGCCGCTTCCTAACGTCTGAGAATCTTCCATATTACTTTGGAATCGTCTGATAGGCTTCAGTGTGCTAACGCAAACAGTTGAGTTTATTCTTAAACTAACTCAAATTAAGGCTCAAATCTTCGAATTCGCATGTAAAAATGTCGATCCTCAGATTGGGTTACTTGGTGACTGGTGACTTTACAGCGTGAACTGCTTGTACCGTGCTTTTCCATTTGCTGGGTACAAGTTCACGCAGATAAATGTTTTTTTATTTCCCAGCTTTGCTGCACATTTCTTCATGATCACAACCATGTAACGTAATGCTCGTCCCTTGCTTTGTGCAGTTTTAGATGTCAACTTGCGTTGTGTCAGTTGTTTTTCTGCGATGCCAACCAGCCCTCTGGACGTTGAATTTGCCCTCTATATGCTGCCTAAATAATTTGTTAAAAGGACATTTCATTTCCCCTATGCTTTCTCCTGTTTTATAGTCTTACCTCAGGAAACAGCAGTTGCAACTTGACGTGTGCCTTTGATTTGGTAACTACTGAGTGTAGGGTTTCGATGTTTCTTACAGCTTACTTCCAAGAGCTGGCAGAAGAGGAAGTCCTCGGCCTGCATGCAAAATGCAAGGAGGAGCTTCGCCAGCTGAAGGACGAGTTTGAACAGTACAAGGCTCACGCCAACTCTGTGCTCCAGGGCGCAGGCAGCCAAGGAAGTTATGCAAAGGTCGGCTCCTTTATCGCATCGTTGCACCTTTGGCAGCTGTCGCAATGTGAAACCGAGGTTTCTTCTGACATTGTGTCATACAGGCGATGATCAAAATTTTGGACGTGCCCAGTAATTCAGGTACCATCTTGGCATTGCCACAGCATCCCGTAGAACGAGCGATGTGGAGGATGCTTGAAATTTAGAATGCTTAAACTCTTCACCATCTGATCTTTCAGGACATTCTGCCATGGTTGCAGTTTCATAATGGCACTAGCTCTATGAAGCGATCACTACACATGTGTGTATGCCACTTGTCTCTGTTCGTTGTGTCGAATGGTAGTTAACAAAAAAAAATAAAGCTTCATTCAGGTTTGAATGAATGAAGTTGTTTTCATTGAACTTCATTATGCAGTGTGCTATTGCATATGATCGCTTTGCTGAAAGCACTAACTGTTCAACTCGTGTGATGTGCCAATTACCATGAGCCACGTCAAAGCTGTAAATTTTATTTTCACAGAATGGATATAACAAAGAACAAGCTTGCAATTTATTTCAAGCCTGGAATTTGACTTTATTTATGTAGAAACAGAATATGAATGACTAAAGGATAAACAGATATTTAATTATGATTAATTACTACAAAACATGCAAATAAACATATGGCATCGTTCTTATTGTAATATAATATCAAGTAGCTTGAAGTATGCGTACATTTGATGCATTTACTGGCAGTTCTTCATTGATCATGCACCTAAATGAGTTAAGTATATTCCCACTGTTTATTTTGCGGCCTTAGACCAGCAATTTGTATGCTGTGGTGCTTGCCAAAAGTCAGCTTAGACACAATGCACATGGTAGTGTGCAGTGAGACATGAGCAGTGCATCTTAGTGAAGTATATCTTAAACTGCTGAGGTGCCACTGTCCCAGGACGTAGTACCTGTTCTTTTTAAACACTTGCTATCTCCTGTCTAGTACGGACACCAAGATGCAAAACAAATGTGCCGACAGGCCATCCGAGCTATTTCGGGCGTAGGTGTAAAGATTAAGAGCCTTAGAGAACAGTAAAAGACACGCATGTCCGATTTTTTTCAGGTGATTTCATAGTCTCTAGGGGGTCTGAAAAACCTGCACTAAACTTTACTTGTTTTATTATTCTTAAATTAATTGGTCACAAGGCAATCACTTGGGCGGTATTTAGTTTTGACGTTTAGAGGAAACTTTAGTAACTATAAATAAAATAAAGCCACATTTAAGGCATGGACATTGCACTATTGCGTCAGCCTATTTCTGTCTTTGCACGACACAGGGTCAGGAGTCTTCGGCAGAGTTGGATCGACTCAGGCAGCAAGTGAAGGACCTTCAAGGGCAGCTGAGGACGCAGCGGGCCCAGTTCGAGGCGCAAGAGCAGAGCAACAGGGAGACCACCGCAAAGCTTCAGGTCTGTCATGTTCTCAATGGTTGCTTTCACTGACTGCACTTATGTATAAGTAGTGGTTACCTTATGAATGTGAGTGAGCAAGTAAGTGGACAGAAGTGCATGCTCTTAGATCTGTGTTGGAAATTTTGCCTTATACTTCATTAGGCAGGTGCCCACTCTATCTTGGTTAGCTTAGAAATCTCTTCTTGATAGTGCAAGCATCTTGATGTGTCCCAATGACTAAGTACTTAGATGCATACTTTGTACAGCAATTTTCCAAAGCTATCTTAGCATCTACAGCAGACATTCACTACCCATCATAACTCTGCCAAGGAATGAAAAAAAGAGCCAAGCTAGAAATAGATAAAACACTATTAGAGGGATTGGCTAATGAACTAAGACGATCAGAATAACAAGCTTGCCAAGTTGCTACTGTAATTTCTTCTCATAAGGAGGGTGCCTACACTTTTATTTAGATGAACATATATACTGCAGGGGAAGATGGTAGACAAAAATATGTTGCATTACTGGTGGAGTTTTGAGTCTAGGTAATACAGTGAAACCTCGGTGATACGAATCTCGTGGGGTCATCAGAAATACTCGTATCATTCGAAATTCGTATCACCAGAAAATATGAAGAATTAGGTGAAAAAAAAAAAAGCTGGCATATGTTTTAATTAATCTTTCTCAGTGCCGCTGTAATGTCAAAAACAGATCTGAATGTAATTGTCAGTGTCAATGTTGAGATGTCAATGATCATACTTGCACTCTTGAATTAAGGAACCAGGTGTGTTGTGACCTTGCCACCTTGTAGCCCCTTCAAAATCTTGGGGTTTTTTTTGCATAACACGAAAGTATTGCAGCGAAAGTGACTCAAGAAGCACTTTGCACACATTACTTTAAGGCCGAAATATTCTATAACCTATATTTTTTGCTGTAATTTTTTTATTGTAATGTTGTGGGGGATGTTTCTTAGGAGATTTACAGCCATGTCCACACAACTGGAATCCTTTGACCATTGAGAGATCGTGAGCAACCGCCTTCAATGGACCTTCCACAGCACACCCATTCGCATGCTTGTGCAGTACATGCTGAAGGTATACGTTGCGTTTGGTTTCACTGGCAAGCCTTGAAATGGTTTTTTAACTCACGAGTGCTGATACTACTGTGACTCTATGAACTTCGATGTTACTTGTGGGAGGGACAGTGCCGTCTTCAGAAGCAGGTGCCCGGGAAAGCATGTCGGCCACAACCATCTGTTTACGAGGAACGAAAGTCAAGGTGTAATAATATTTCAGTAACCGCCAAAAGAAACGCTGCACTCTTCGGTGGCATGTCAGCAATGGCCTTTTTTGGTATGTCAAGCAGTGGGCAATGGTTGCTCTCAAGAACGCTGGCCTGGCTGCTACACCTTTGCAGCACAACAGCCCTTATGGTCTTTTTCGTTCCAATGCAGCGCGCCCTGTCAGATGCGGAACCTGCGGCACGAGCAGGAGTGCCAGCGCCTGGAACAGCGCTGGAGCAGCAAGTTGTCGGAGCTGGAGTCCCTGATGCAGGCGCAGAGGGACCGCTCCCTGGCTCTGGTCGAGGAGAAGGATCGCGAGCTGCAGGCACTGCGCGCCACACTCGCCAGCCTCGAATCGGAGAGCCAGCGCTACGACTGGCAGGCACAGCACGAGGTCGTCAGCAGCAGCGGCGGCTTGGCAGTGGTGAGTGGTGTAATTTATGTGCCAGTACCAAAATACAAAATGAATCCAATGGACAGTTTGACCAAGAAAAGTGTAGGGGGACATAAATTTGTCTTTAACTGTAGTGTAGTAATTAGTGCATAAATTGAAGTAATGTAAAGTATTCCAATTCACAACTTATAGATTATGCGAAGCCCTAAAAAATACTCCTTCTTTTATTTATGCCATGATATGCTAATGACTCTTGGCTTGGGGTAAGGAATAAACGGTAGTTGTAAGTGCAGAATGTATAATATTACCACCATTAATTTTTACAAAAGCTAACCCCTTGTACGAAACTGTATGACACAGACACAACTTTAAACTGAATCTATGATCAATCTAAATCAAATAAAAAAATCTATTCCAATTTACTGCAAACACTGCATACCGAGGAAATCGGGTGAAAGCTGTTTCAATACACCCGACAAGGGAGCCAGCTTCCCTTCAGTAGTTCAGGCAGATGTCGCAGCATAAAATTTCCACAAGTGTTATACAGTGTGAGGAATGATGATGCTATCACGAACCCTTACTAGGGCTACCACTGTACTTGGAAATGTGCGGCAAATCTGAGACACATGAGCTGACTTGGTCAGGTCGTGTCTCCAAGTAAAATCTTTTGTCCAGACTTGACTTGATCAAGTCCTAGATCAACTTAAAGGTGCTCATTGTGTTTTCTTGGACACATTCAACATCGGGCATTACAGTAACGTCAGGCATTCCATTCAAAACGCAGCTTTAAATTATTTCAATGTACGTTTTTGAGTACTGGGGTTAGTACAGTGGTTGGGAGTGACATGACGGAATATAAAACAGTAGAAGTAGCTTAGGGTTTAGGTTCGCATAATGGAAGACATAAATATTGGAGCCCTACATCATCCTGGCATTTCAGGAAGTCTCTGGTGACCAGGAGGGAAGCTCTGATGCACAGGGCTTGGATCCCCTTCTCACCGAGTTGCTCTCGAAGAATGTGGGCTTTGCTTCCAAAGATGTCAAAAGCAAGGTAAGCACCAGCTTCCCAATTACCGTCTATCAGTGGCCCATGCGAAGTATTTTATTGCATATATTGCATATTAACCTGCCATAAGAAAGAAAATTGGAAATTCAAAGCTGATGTCAAAACTAAAAATGAAATCTTCAGTCTCCTAAGTATGTCTTGAAAGCAGTGCTCCTCAGTTGTGTAAGGGAGCTAGTTTTGTGGCAGCACGTAATAATAATTCATAAAAAAAAGTTCCGTGAAGCATTGTTGAAGGTGCAGGTTATACGTGAGAAGATATGGTAGCCTTGATAGAGCCAGTTGTGTGCTTGAGTAGTGTGTCGAATGATGCGGCTTTTTTACCTATTATATAATTTGATCCTATTAATTCCCATCAACATCAAATAAAGGAACTAGAGTTAATACTGAATGCGACTGATAGATGACAATGTGGGTAATGTCAGTACAGTTATTGCCAGTATCTATGCACTTACTCACCGATACCAGTACTAATATCATTCTATAGGTCAACAGATCTCTGTTTTCCTCTCAGATGGGTGTTTAAAAAATGCACATCTTATTAGGAAGTGGCATGTAGCCATCTTTGATAAACTGAGCATGTCCAACTACGTAGTTGCGATTTTGAGAAGGTGCAGGCGTACAGTGATTGGATGCCTGTCAAAATTCACTATAATGAATGTGCATACAACCAGGTAAACCTAATCACGCAAGGTCCACAAGTTGTTAGGGAGCACATCATGCTGGAACACTACACTTACTGACATGCCGCTACGGTGGACATAATGACGTTTCATTGTACCAATAGAGAGAGAGAAACAACCTTATTAATAAACGGTACAGTGAGATTGTTGAATCCATCTTAGCGTTGGTTTGAAGGGTGGTGGCCAAAAGCTTGACACGACCGTTGTGGCCCAGTTAATAACTGCTGGATGAAAGCTACCCAAAATCGCATTCTCTGGGAATTTGAGGGAAACCCACTACCAAAAACACTGCCGCCAGCTTCTTCACTCGAGGCATGGGAGTCACTCCTGTTGTCAACTGACAACAGTCTTCATTGTACCAAGTGTCGATACGTTCGTTCTGTGCCTCAGACCGAGTGTCAGCTGCTGCACTACGCCCAAGAGCTGGCTCGCAAGGACGCCGAGCTTCTGCGTACCCTGAGAGAGAAGAGAGACGTCGAGTCGGCGCTCCGGGACCTCCAGAGATCTCTTGCTGCTCAAGGAGCAGAAGGACGCCCAGGAGAGGGAAGCACTGAGGTGAGAAGTCATCCGAAAAAGGTTGGGCTAGTTTGGTCATTATCATTATCATCATCAGCCTGACTACATCCACTGCAGGGCAAAGGCCTCTCTTATGTTCCGCAAGTCAACTCAGTCCTGTGCTTGCTGCTGCCATTTTTACACCCACAAACGTCTTAATCTCATCTGCCTACCTAACCTTCTGTCTCCCCCTAACCCACTTACCGTCTCTGGGAATCCAGTTAGTTACCCTTAATGACCGAGCGGTTATCCTGTCTACGCGCTACATGCCCGGCCCATGTTCATTTTCTCTTCTTGATTTTAACTATGATATCTTTAAGTCAGTGCCACTTGCACCACTTGTAAGTTGTGCTCTGCTACTACGGTTATAATCCTTTATAAGAGGCATGCTCCGTGCAGCAATTCTTGTCTTTTATATGAAATGTCTCTTATAAGCAGGGCACCTCTTACACATTTTATTATCAACCCATACTTTACTGTAGGCACACTGGTGTCTCTCATACCCATTTGTCTCTTATATCAGTGTCTCTTATCAAGGGGTTCGACTGTATTTAAAGGCTCTAGCTTTGAAATTCGCTTCGAAGTTATTCAATACTTATAGTTTGCTGTGACACCACTTCAAACCTCCAAAGTGATACAGTAAAAGCTTGTTAATTTGACACCAATTACAGTAGGATCTCGTTAAACAGAACCTGAAGAGACCAAAAAAATGTGTTCGATTTAACAGGAGTTTCATGTAGTGAGAAATGAACAGGGGTGCGGAATAGTAATAGTGGTTACTACCAATAAGCAAATCATATCAGAGACAGTTGTTCCATTTAAGCAGCAATGCCATTTATTAACAGATTTCCATTTACTGAGAGTCTATTGCGAATAGGAAAACTGTATTATTCGGACATCCTATCTGATACCAGTGAGCACGTTTATTGTTCAATGGCATCCAACTCTTTGTTGTCCAGCAGGCCTGCGAGGCAGCCGACAGGCTTGGCTTGGTGGTCCTGACATGGAAGTTGCCCACTGCACACTAGAGCGCGACCCGCAGGGCCTCAGTAAAGCTATTTCAATCAATTAATTAATCAAACTCTAATTAATTAGGACATTGCATTTAAATTAACCAGGTTGCAGCCAAAATAAGGTTCATTTGGACAATTCTCAGAGCACGGTGATCGCAAGTCTGCGGTGCAATGAAGCAGAAACAGCGTTTGCGAACAACCAAATCAAGGTGGGGCAGTCTTCACTCCCATTGTCATTCGTGCGAAAATATGCTAATGATGGCAACGATGTTTGGGGTTAGAACATTTCAGTTTAGCTAAGACGAGGAGGACTTGAGTCACGATCACTCTGTGAGTAAAGTCGCGAGTGGTGAGAACTGCGCTTTTACGTTGCTCTTATGCAAAGCAATGTAAGCATTGGATTTATGTATTCATTGAGAAAATCAAAGTGTATTGGTGCAATAGACAGTTGTTTGTGGTTATATTGATACCTTCAATGATTTGTAATTTGGTTAACTTGGACATTTTTTTTTCTTCCCAGGAAACCAAAACTAACTAGCTTTTACTTGATTTGAATGAGCATAGATGTAAGCTTAATGTCAACCTACTCTTCCAGGCTACGTCTGTCCCAGTTAGAGCACATGCCTGGACCCAGCGACAGTGGCAAAGGTGAACCTGCAGTATCTCAAGAACGTGGTGCTGCAGTATTTGCTCTGCAACGAAGCCCCAGCACGCAAGCACATGCTCAACGCAATCGCCGTAGGTCTGCGGTTCACACCACGCGAGGCGCAGCTGGCTCGACAAGCAGCACAGGCCTGGTGGTGAAAACGTTTTCAAATGCCTTCCTTCAATGAAAAGCACGTTGAGCAGGCATACATGTCAGGCCATCACTTTTAGGGCACATCTGCAGTAACGGTCGTGTCAATGTTGTCAAATCGTTGTAACACTTGCATCGTACCAAGCACTGAATAGTTTCCAGAAGCCGGCAACTGCGTCTTAATGTGCAGTGTGATGCTTTAGGCAACTTGCACATTGCGCTAAGCCTGTTGCCGTTGGTTTACAGGCTCTGTTTACTGTTGCCATCGGGCAGAGCCCAAATATGCAAATGCTAGGCTCGCATAACGGCCAGTGCTGAGAAGCATTATTCACTAAATCCAAAGTCTGTCCTCGATGTAGGTTCTTTTTATGCTTTATTTATTGTGATTTTTCTCTAGCCCCTCCCTACTCAATGCTCTTCGGGGCCTATAGGGTACCATGAATAAATTGACGTGCATTGGCTACTAGAGTGATCGAGTGCCAGGAGCCGGTGCTACACAGTGCTGGCCAGTACATGAGCTACACTCAAAACCTCATTTAATGAAAGCACATATGTCACGAAAATTCTTCGTTATATCCAGAAATTCGTTATAAATGATTATTTGTTACTGTATTTATGGTAAAGCTATTGGTCGCTTACATCGTTATAATTGATAATTTGTTGCATTGCGGATTGAGTGGACATGCCTACGTCTTGGAATTGAGCCTGATGACAGCAGTATGCAAGTGTTATAGCTAGGTCATACCAAAGCTTGAACTTGCTTGCACCGAGTGCAGCCTATCTAGATAGTACTACTTGTAAAGTGATTCCAACCTGACAAACTGTAGTTCCTAATGTAATGTACGCAACTGCGCACTCTGCACGTCTTTCTATGAGTGTGTTTGTTGTTGTACAGATGTGTTGATTGCGGAGGTTTTTCCGAGAATCGCGATGCGTAGTTGTACATTTGGAGTGAGCCATAATCTTAGTTTTATACTTTGTGTTGCTGTCTACACACGCTTTGAACACCGCAGTGTTCGATGTGCAATATAAACACAGGGATCAAGGTGCAAGGCATTTTGTTTTAATTTTGCGCAGTCATATAAAACTTCTAGCTGCTGTTTTGCTAGCTCGGTGAATGGGAATACATACTCTGCATGCGGAGATTGAACCAAGTGCAAAACTTCTTGAAATATTAAACATCACTATTTTTTCTTACAGTCAACTGCCTCTTGCCACGTACAAACTGTCTGACCATCACATCAAACTGTCTCAATTTCACCACAAACTGTTGCCAAGTGAAACACTGTTATTGGACATGCCTTTGTAGTAGTTGAGAGTAAATGCCCACCAAAACTAGCGAATACGCAACGGCAATACGAGCCTTCCCAACCCTATTCTGTTAGAGAAAATGAACACACGGACAACATTGGCACTAGATGTAATGACTAAGAAGATATATAATGCATGACTCGGCTATAAAAAGATGTAGCATTGTATGAAAAAAGTATGTAATATAAGGCATGCTTTTGAACTGCTCCCTCTCACACTATCTGTTCAAGGTGGACGATTGGGCGAGTTGGTGATTCATGATCGACGTATGTAACTGCGCGGTAGTAAACACGGACGACAAGAAGATACAAGGACAAGCGCAGTCCTTGTATCTTCTTGTCGTCCGTGTTTACTACCGCGCAGTTACATACGTCTATCTGTTCAAGCTTGGAATATGCAAGTGCCGCACTGATTGACTGTTATTAGATGGTCAAAGAATTGAGCTTGGGAAGAACTCTCAAGATGGGGACTGCAATTCATTTTGTTCAACAAAGGAATAATGGTATTCGCAGGACCATTTCACGAGGATTCGATAATGGCAAAATGTAGTGCGACGTCCCGCCAACCGCGGCTGATGTCGACATTTGGAGACGAAGTATGCAGTTCCTGAGAGGGGTCAGCATGGGCAGATGTACCATGGCGCTAAAGTAGTAAAGCCCCTAAAGGTGTCCACTGCAGCTCTTACGAAGGAGCAAAGAATCCGGCCGGAGGATTGGTGCTTAGGGTGTCCTGCATGTCCTTTGGAAAGATGCCGAAGAACTTGAATCGCTCTCCCATCTTCTCCGGATGCGTGAGCATCTCGTAGCCGGTCAGCAAGTCTTGACGTGCCTCGGGGGGACAGTTGGCCAATAGTTTCTGGAAGTGGCGATTTTTTATGTTTGTTATTTCAACTATTTAAGAGTTTACTGTGCACGTACTGACAGAAATTGAACTAGCATTGCTTAGGGTGCAGTTCAACTACAGCATAGCAAGGTCACATTCCGTACAAAATACCTTCGCTATAGTATACTCTACCCGTGTTTGTGCATGCTGGTACACCAGTATTTTTGGCACAGGACACAACACAAAGACAGCAAGATGTTCAACAACAAAGACAGGTGTTAGATACCCATTACATGCTGGTGTCAACATTAAGTGTTCGAAATTCACTTCATTTAATAATTTAGTTGTAAACAGAATAGTGACCCTCACGCTAATTAATTTTAAGCATGCAAAGACTGCTTCCTGAATATAAATGTCTCAAGATGCTGATTGATTGATCCGTTCAGCCTACCTCCAGGCGTATGCTGATGCCCATGTTTCTGAGGAATTCTCCCTGGGGTATGGGCCCAAATGTCAGTGCTGGAATGGCGGATACAGAGATGGTAAAACACATGTTGGGACCCACGTTAGTAGGAAACATGTGAGTAATGCACTCGGAACATTTCCCACCTCTGTCCTTGAGAATCCGTCTCAGATAAGAAAAGTCGACGTCTACAGTCAAATCTGCTGTGCCTGGCTCGGACAATACGGGGTGAAGGGCATGGTTCTTGAATGCCTGAAAGTGCAGTAACCAAGTCAGCTTCCTGCCTTGTAGAATAAATGCAGTTAGCCTACATTTGTCAAACTCCAACCTACGGAGAATTTTTTTTTCCTTTTATATAGGTTTGGGTTTAGCAAAGATGCACAAAGGATAGCTATGGCTTTTAATATAACTTGTTTAATGAAGGCAACCAAATTCATTCATGCCGACCTAGGCAACAAGACCGTATCTTTGTTGCATTTAGGCGTTATGTTAGTGGATACATCATCACTTGTGCACTTCTGATGTCCATGTTCACCACACACTGCCGTTAACTCTTCGAACCCCTCAAGCGGAAAGCGCGAGACAGCAGATTAGTCATTCCTGGAAGCAACAGCAATTGATAGAACACAACTCGCTTGATTTTAACCAACTGTAACACAATAATGTAGTATCCACATAATTGGTACAGAACGCAGTAATACCTCGAGATAGTAGAACATTTAGGTGCTTGTCTGCTGTATTTGTTCTTGTTTTATATTAGAAAGCAAAAGTCTTGAACGAGCTTTCACTTTAGTAGCCCATCCACATGTAACAGTCACGGTGGACTAGCACATTTGCAGTAATATAGATAGTACCTTAGTAAATGGGCAACAGCGATGGCTTGCAAGAAGTGTAGACTTACCCGGAAAGTGTCTGTCTTATCGCCATCGTGCCCGTAGTCAACAACAAGCCCACAGCCTCCATGTTCATCCATGCGGTGTGCAAGCTCTTGGACAATGACGCCAGCCTCAGGACAGACTTCGACGTGGTCCCTCTTTTCACCAGTCACCTAGGGTAAGGAGATGCAGTGCTTGCTGTAACTAGGGGGGAGTTGAGGGAGTTTCGATGCCCACCGAAAATTTTCCACGCTTTAACTTTTTGGGAGATACTAAAGTAATTACATGCCTTCATATCGACCACAAGTAACCAAAGTTTGCTTATCTACACGTAAACACACCCTAAAAATTCCCTGGGTGCGACACTTGGGAAATCGACCAGGAATATGTTGTAACGTTGCATGTCCCTCTATTTTGCCAACTTTTTTATTTTGGCACAGTGATGTGAAAACCAGTGATGTGGAACCTATATCAAGTGGAACCTTGATATAGGTTCCACTTGATATAGCAGTACTTGTTATATCAAGGGTAACCTTGATATAAAAAGTACTGCTATGTCAAATCCAATACTATAGAGCTTCCTCACCAATGCTAACATGCAACAAATGCCCATATGCTTATGACAAGAAGATACCACAAGAGTATCTTCCTGTCAAATGTCACTCCACTCTATATGGCTTGACAGCAGTGGCAACGTATAGTGACTGGTTTTGAATTCACGTCCTTCACCTTGTTTACTGCCTCTCCGTATGCATGCACTGCCATGAAATTTAGGCTGGAGCAACTAAGTTAATATCTGGTTTTGAATTTACTGCCATCAAAGTTAGGCAGCAGCTAAGTTCACTATAATATAATAGAAATCTATGGGAAAATAACACGGAGTCTGATAATGTAGGAGTTCAGGGGAATATGGAACTTCAAAGAAATTAAAATCCTTTGAATGCGGGGTGTTGCTGGCTTCAACAACACCTCGTGTTCCAGGGTGCTTTTCGATTGTTTGAATCTAATAGACATTTATGGAGAAGCATGAAAAACGTGTTGTTTTAGGTCGGCTTGAAAATTATGAAAAAAATATGTATAAAAAAATGAGGGAGTGGTGTTCACCGAACTTGTATACTCAAACTCAAAGTGCGACATAGTCGAATACAAGAGACAAGTTTGCAGACACAAGTGCTGTCCGTCTGCATCTTTTGTGTTAGTCTACATCGTGTTCCATTCTTTCGAGTCCGTACCAACAAACCCGAGTCAAGTCTACAGCCAGAGACTTGGTCTTCGTGCTACCTATGTAGTAAATATATTTTGCTAATGAAACTTTCAGTGATTTAATGTTAAGCATGGTAAAGCAATAAGTCACAGATGGTAGTACTTCTTTAGTAAGTGGAGCGCCAGAAATCGCCAACTACTCACATTGGCAAAGAAGCTCGCTGGAGTGGGTCCCCGGGAAAGCACGTAGCGCAGATGGTGTGGACCCGGCCCGTCGTCCAGGTCTATGAAAACCTCCCGCCACCCTTCAGGGGTGCGCTGGAACTTGTGCACGGGAAGGGCATCCAGGAACTCGTGGGCGATGAAGCACGAGAACCCACGCGGCACATCGTGTAAGTGGCGGTACCAGCCAACAGGAACGCCGTGCTTGGTGATGCTGTGTTTGTAAGTTGCCTGCACATCACAAAGCGAGAAGCTTCTGAGACACTCTGTAGGTGATGGCTACACCTGGCACACAACAGTGCACATGCTTTACAGGTCATGGAAACTGTCCAGTGATTACTTTCTTAATTCATGCACCATTAATGAAAGCAATAACCACTAGTATTGAGGAGACTGCTGTCTCTGTCTCAACTTTCAGTCATAAAAACGCATTACAATGTTTCAGGGGCCTATTGCTAACACAACTCGGAGGTGAAAGCCTTGGTTTCAATGAATTAAAGACTGAGACACCCTGTCATAATCTGACAAGCCATTTTGTCCCATAGAATGCATTTTCGTTCTTGTCGAGCCTTCTCTGGAAATGCATTCCTTTTAGACCTGCCTACGGCGAAATCCACTATGCCTTTACTGAGCATAGTTCATCGCACACATTTTCCTCATAACTCCATAGCCTTCAGTAGACAGTCAAGTGAGTGATACTTTCATCTTTTTATTCACACAAACGCCCCAAAGACCTAGTGAATGTGCAGCTCGTGCACCTTAAGCAACGCTAGAACGGTCACACCATGTTTTTTGTGCTATTTCGTGATCACACCAGACTTTTCTTCTCATTAGGCATACGACGCTTTTTCGATCAAAATTTCTTTCTGTAATCCGACATGCCAAAACCACGAAATGATTGAGGTACGCCCATAGTCTCCATTTGTCTAACAGCTGCTGTTGAGGTTAGTTGGTATTAATCTGTGATCAAGAGTGGTCCTTGCATAAAAGCTTTCATCTCAATGCGATGAAGCTACACCGAAAAACAAACTTGCCTCTTCGGTGTCTGTCTTTACTGGAAGACGCAGAGTGACTGGGTTGTGTTCAAACACGTCCTTCACGACGCTGACGGTTCCGCAGAGCTTCAGCTCCTGCACTTGGCTTAGGTGCGGGCTGATTTCGACCAGGTGCAAGGACACCACTTCCATGGCATCGCTGTACTTGGAGAACACCTGCACCAGATTTTCAAGAGGGAAAAATCGCGAGGAAAACCACTGAACACATCCCCGATGTTAGCGAGATAAAGTTTATGTATAGGAAAGACATGCTGCATAAAATTGTAGAATGCTATAGATTTGTCAGGTGCTGAAAAACAGGAGGAGGTCATGTTTGTTAAGTTGCGTTTAGAATTAAATTAAAAAAAAACAATCCCACTTGCAAGGACATGCTAGAATGTACTGCTCAAGGCATGCTGCATTGACACATGATAGTTCTGCAGTGACGTTGGCTGGAACAATTACCTGCTATGTTTACCTGCTACACTTTGCTTCAGTTAAGACTGGCAGTGTATAGGAGCGATCAACAGCAATTCATAAATTGATCGTCACCATTTCAACTAGGGGACTTTTCATCTGGCCTGATAAAAACCATGCCTTCTTATTGAAACGCTGGCTCCAGTATGCAGTTTACCTTGCTGCAAGGACGCGGTGACTGCGTAATAAACTGAGTGCACAACACCGAGAAGACGGTCAAACATATTTCAAAGAAACTAACCCGCAACATGTCGTCGGAAAGAGTTCCACGTCCGGGACCCAACTCCACAATGTAAAGAGGCTTCGGCTTTCCCGCTTTGACCCATTCGTTAAGGAACCACACGGCCACTAGCTGCAAAATAAACAAAGTCAAGTTTGGCGCCATAGCTAATCAGCTAAAAAAAACTGTCTCACCTCTCCGAACATTTGTGAGATTTCCGGTGACGTCGTGAAGTCTCCCGAACTGCCAAAAACATCCCTATGCATGTAGTAACCCTGAATTCAAAAAAAGGAAAGAAACGAAGTGAGTGGGTTTTGTAGGACTCTGTTTTGAGGCACAAAACGAAACTTGCTTGCCGCATCACGTACGGACATGGGATTGGTCAACACTTCTTTCATGTATTCGGCGACGGTGATCGGTCCCGTCGCCAGTATTCGAGTTCTGAGCTGCTGCAGAAGCTTGGTCTCGGCAGACTTCGCCTGAGCTTCGATCACGATGGAACGCTTGCTCAGCTGCTTGGCTACATCTGTTGAAACAGCAGAAAAAAAACAACCGTGCCATCGCCATGTTAACCTCTACGCGCCGACAGCGCCGGCCCGTGCTCGCATGCACGCTGCACACGCGTCTATGTAAAAGGACCCATTCGCAACGACTGGCGGGCAGACGTAGCACAGGGAAGTCGCAGCAGATGCGCGATTTGTTTTGCGTAAAATTTCATACCCGAGGCCGCTGTCGGCGTCTTGCCGTGAAGTTTGCGGGCAACCACTCCTGCCGCATTCGGCGCTCGCAGGAGCTTGGGGACCGCGCGCGCGACTGCCGAATTCATCTTGTCGCTGTCAAGGCGCGCTCCTGTACGAACCTAACTGATCTTTAACTGGTCAAGGATGTTGACTTTTATCAGCGTCCTAGCCCCTTTAAAGTACGCTCATCAGCTGTTGCGGCGCTGCGCCCTTGTTCCCAGGCTGAATCAGCCGCAACCTCTCTATCAAACATACTTTAAACTACATAAACCAAATAATGCATTTATTATTATGCATTGTAACTTTTTTATTATATTTAAATAAGCGTTTACGTAATGGATATTTTTTACTCTGTTTGATACTGCTACTTGCAAGCTTGCGAAAGTGTGTCTTGCATAAACAGGCTTTACTCCAGCACTGATACGATGGAGGGTGGTGAGGCGAAGCTGTCACACAAGGAAGTGCTGCGGTAATGTGCGATGTGCATCGTGCCGGTCGGGCGCATTCGTGTGGTGGCATTCGCGGGTAGCGACTTTCATCGAGTTTTATTTGACGTCGAGACTTTTTTACCATGGCGAGGCATAGTGTGGCCTTTCTTTTATTGATGGTGGCCGTCGGGTCCTCCTCTAGTCGGAAGAAGGATGGCGCTTCGGAAGATTCTTGTTTCTGCTTGGTAAGTTGCGAAATATCGCTTATTCGTGACTCTTCCGTAGAATGGCAACTTTTGCCAGCTTCCATGTCTCGAAGGTGTTGTTAGCGCAACGGCCTGTTATCGTACGCGCTAACTTAACAAGTTAGACGAGTGGGTGCACTTTTCCTGTTGTCAGTTGACCATGGATTTCAGGTTGGCGCCGATCGCAATAGTTTCGCGTTTTTCCTTAACCGCTCTATCGTAGTTTCACATTTGCGCTGATGCGATCCAATCTGCGCGCCCTTCTGTCCGTTAACTTGCAAGAAAGGTGATTACCAGAAGCTGTTCGCAGTAACGCTCTTATAAATGTTGGGTTAAATTAGTTGCTACTGCGTTGTGAATCAAATTCAAATCAAACGTGAATCAAATTTCTGGATCGTGATTGACTCCAATCCACATGTTTCACTGAGGAGCCAATCGCGATCGAGATATGTTTGATCCGGATTGGACTCAATCGGGATCGAAAGTGCCCCATGCGGTAACGACATAGATAGTGCTGCTCGTCGCACTTAATTCGCCTCTTCTGTTTTAAAACGATACCACGTTTTCTGTACGATTCAAGTAAACATATGTGCACGTTACAACCGCGACATCTCCATGCGGGTGTATCTACGGCTGTAGCTGTCACACGATCGACTCGTGCAGACAGCGCCCGCGTAATTTATCACCTCTACGGCCACGTATCACGTCAGTGTAGCAGACACCTATAGCTTCTCCGACGCCGATGGCTTTAGAAGTTTGATCTAGTTTCCCAAAGCGCCGTGAAAATAGAGATGCGAAAACAGTATGTTTTGGTTTCTGATCCATACTGCACCTGTATAGATTCGGCTTTTGTGCGTTTAATCTTGCTTTCGTTCAAGTTTATTTTCAAAGCGGATTCTTGACGTCTTACTGACAAGAAAAAAGCAGATGTCGTGCAGACAATCTTCGACTGTTTGTTTCGTCCGAATCATTTTTTTTTTAATCAAAACATTCGTGTATATCCGGCAGTCTCGTTTCACATGCAACACATGTATCGCAGGATGCACACCCAATCGAATTGTAGTGTTGCAATATATGTGCTGTGCTTTTTTTTTTTAATTATTTCGTTCCAGTAGCAATCTTTGCTCTCTGCACAACGTCCTGTTGTTTCTATCGTACATTTGCGCCTCACCTCAAATCGATGTCGGCGTGAATTAAATTATGTTCGAACTACTTGAAGCCGGAAATCCGCGCAGGAGCGCGCGACAGACGCGATACACCGATCGAGCGAGTCGCATATGAGAAAGATCTAGCGCGCACAGAGGAAACTCTACGCTGCGCGCCAGTTGACTCGGTCGAATCCTTTCACCGGGACCACAAAATGCGCACTCTACACGCATGAGGAGTCACGCCGGTGTGCTTTTGTCGTTGCGCGCGTGCATTTGCATGCGTACGTGATCGGAAGCACGCTCTTTTTTTTTTTTTTTTGATGCCGCGCTCTTCCGTAGCTGGGTCACGTCGAACTGTCACCGACATGACGTCACCTTCAAATGTTATGACGTAACTCTTGCCATTTCTTTTTTCACGGATAGCACCGTGATTTACGCGTGACGCTACTACGTTTACGTGTTATCGTATGTGTGACTTCCGCTTCTGTAGGGCGGTTGTAGTACGTCCCCGCATATTTTATTTTTTTCTAATGAAGGGGGGCATTGCCTCGTAGCACGTATGTGCTGTAACGAAACTCGCAAATCGGTGGAATTGAATGTCGTGCATCATTCGCGCCTGCGGCGCGCGCGTTCTTTTGTATTGCGCCTTATTGCGAACGTCGTTCCCGCGTTATTTTTACTCCGCCGTGCAGCTGCGTTTTGGCAAGTTTTCTGTCGGATTACTGAGCGATGCGGGCCGCTCATCAAAAGCCGCGCGTGTGCGCCAGCTGCGGGGAAGAGCTCGGAGGCGCTTTATTATTAGTATCTCTTTTTTTTTTTTTTTGGCGAATCGTTTCAAAAGACGGGCCCCTAGGCAAATGGCCTCTTCGTGATATTTGTTCCCGAGATCGCGTGCGTGATTTCTGTGAGCGACGTGTCTTTTTGCAGGTGCGGCCCAGTAGTTCGTTATGTTTTTAGGGCGTTTATAAATATGCTGGTTGATGGATCGTCCTTTGCCACCTGTTCTGTGGAAAACGACTTCCTATAGGACAACGCTACTTAATAAATGAATAGAAAATTATTTTTTGTGCTTATTATTTGTCTGTGTCCTGTCGACCCTGGCACATACCAACTCTAGGGGATTGGCCAAGAAAACTTGTTGTTGCACTAATGATTGCCAACCTATTACTAAAAATCTACAAAAAAATACAAACAAACAGATATAAGGTGAGAAAATTTTTAAATAAGAACAAAATCTAATACAATAAAACATTCATAAAAGGAAATTAGTCCTAATATCACAATGACCCAGACAACGCTCCGACAACCTGAGGTTGTCCTGAGGATGACCTACACCGTACGAAAGTATGACCTGAGGAAGCCCTCAAATGAACCTCAAGTGGTCCTAAACCAGTCCGTTTGTCCGGCCTCAGATCGTCCTCAGGGCATCCAGAAAAGAGCACATTATGATGAGTCTAGTACTTTTTGAGGACGAAGCATACAAGACCTAGGCACTCATCAGACCTTACGAAAAGTTGCTCTAATTCTTCTTTTGGAGCGCTGAAATGACAACTGATCAATCAAAAGTGCCTGAACATGCACACTCTTTAAAGCACTGCCTGTGAGGTTTCAGTAACAATTTCTTCAAGTATAGCAATAAAAACAGCAATGCACAGAAAACATGTTTATTTTCAGGAATGAAACTTGGCAGTTTTCACTAGATGAGACTTCTTGCCCTGTGCCTTCAGAGGTCTTCATCCGATGGGCTTGACAACGCGACACTTTGAAGACATTCTGTAGTAATAGAAAGCAGCATATCTTGAAGCACAAGTGAATTTAGAGTATCAATAAGAATATTAAGACAATAACAGCATGCCAGATTTGAAAGCATAAAATGAAAATTATATTACCATAATGTGCAGGTACGAACTAGCCATTATATAATGGTGAAAATGATTTATATAGTTCATGCTTGCATACACATCAAAATTCGAGTAAGGCAAGAAAATTATTTAAACTATAACAGCAAAAGTATCATATGTTATGATAGCTTCAACAGCACAGATAATAAAACTCACCCTCATGGTGAGTGCGAGAAGTTCTTAAGCGCTGCTTCTGGAGCTTTTCCCCAGCATGCCGAAGCCACACTTTAATCACACACTCGATGTCATTTTTTTTTGTTTCCGGAAAATTTCGCCTCACGGCCTCTGAAAAAGTACAAAGTTCATAAAACAGGAATTACACAAACATAATACATTAATATAATGCTACATAGGTTGTTTGAAGAAGTACCTCTAGTCAGCATGATCGACATTTTGATAGGTGGGCACATCATCATTAAAGGTCCTTGCCATCCTTCCCCATGTTAATTTCAAGAGTACTGACATTGACACTATGTGTTGCATTACAAGAAGAACACCACGAAGAAGACATCATTGTAACTTTTTTGAAACCTAGCATGCAAAGAATGATGAGGCGCCTTTGACGAAAATACGTCCATGTATGAAAATGTTGACCAGCTTGTCTTAGGTACTTATTCCTGTTTAGAGATCCTCAGTGATCACTATGAGCTTCCATCTGTTAGTTTTCATCTGTACATAAGATTTCCACTACAGTTAAGAATGCCTAGTAGTGCTACCTGATAATAACTTCTGCAAGTAGTGAATGCTTGCGTATGTGTGCCATGCAAGTATACTAGTGTGCTTGAAGAAGCTGCAGGGTTTCTTACTGACAACAGATATTTCATGCTAAAAATTTTCCACGTTTAAGCACATAATTTTAATTAGCAAGCATCCTAAAAAATTTAATGCTTTCATGAAAAGATTGTTCTTTTGCTATTGACTTCAAATGAAAGATAATGTGGATAACAGACTTAGAAATGTCTGTACTCAAACACGGCTCTTGCAGCACATGGTGTTGTGAAACAAATTACTCACTGCAAATGACATCTGTGACACCTAGATCCACAAACTTCCTTTTGCCTTTTTGGCCTGCCCAGCTGAACTGCACAGCAACCTCAAGGCTTAGCAGAAGCTCCAGCATCCTCCTGGCTGCTGCCCCAAAAGTTGAGCCACCAAGGCCAGCAAGCTGCTGTATCTGTACAGTTTTGAGGTCATTATTTTTTTTAGAAGAGTAGCTTAATGCAGTGACTAGAAAAAAAAATTATAGAAAAATATAATGAATGACGTACAAGCTTTAGCTTAATGTTGCCATCAGCAGCAAGTCTCCCCTCAAGACTTAGAAATTGGTCAATATCCTTGACCGGTGTCAAAACCACATCATCATTTGTCTCATCTTGAAGCCTCACTGTTGTGTTGAAAAGGTGCTGCTGCATGGCATCAACCTGTCGTCCCAGCTGCTCTAGCCTCATCAGGATAGTTTGCGAAATTCGCATGAGTTGACGCACGTATTCTGTAAAGACG